CCCTCCCCCTCCTCTTCCTCGGCCCGAGGCCGAAACGATCACGTTTCGCGCCGTCGGCTCTCGTCACTGCGCCCGCCCGCACGGTAGTGCATCCCTCCGTTCTCCCTCCTCGTTCCATCTCCTCCCCTTAGACTCGGGTAGTAGCACGAGTAGCCTCCCCATAGCTAGCTGGTGCCGCCCCGACCTTTGCCGTCGCTCGCCGTGTGCTCGCTGCTGTCGCCGCCCGAGCTCGGAAACGTCTCTCGTCGCCGGCCTCCCTCGATGCGTTTCCTCCTAATCCGGTGCAAGGGACGGATTCCCGTAGCCGCGTAGATGCTCTCGCCGCCGGGAATCGGCCCCTCGTGACCTCGTCGCCGTTTTCCCTTTTTCTCTCCGCCGGTGGCCGCCGCCGCAATCCGCCGCCGTCGAGCTCCCTCTGGCGAATCCGAGCCGTTGGCTCGTCTCCCCTCGTCTCGTGCAACCACCCGGTGTGCTCGCTTTCGCCTGTATCGCCGTGATTCGCTCCGCCGCTCGTCGCCGCCGCCCGCCGTCCATTCGCGGCCGGCGTCTTCGTCTTCCTCCAGCCGGCCCGCGAGGCAGCCACGTAGGCGCCACGTCGGTGCCACCTCGGCACAACCGAGTCGGCTGACCCGGTCAGCCGCTCCCTCCGTTCCACCCTCCCCGTGCGCGCGGTCCACCGCGAGCCGTGAGGCTACGCGTGGGCCCGCCGCACCCGCGTCCCCCGCGAACCGCGCGCGTGCGCCGCGCCCCGCCCAAACCCTAGCGCCGCGTCGCGTGCTCCCTCCGCACGGTGAACCGTGCCGCCGACAAGCGGGTCCCACCCGGGACCACGCAAGGTGGACCCGGCCCACCGGCTCCCCCTCTCCTCTCCGCCCGCGCGCGCGCTTTGGGCCGCCTTCTTGGGCCGGCCGGCCCCATTTAGCTCGGCCGAGCCGCCCCTTCCTCTCGGGCCGCGCCCTAGCCGCCCGAGGAAAGTCTGATTTCCCTCCCTCCTTCTTTTCTTTTCTTTTTCTTTTTCAAAAAGGATTTAAATAAATCCTTTTTCCTTTAGACCAAAAATCCAATAATCTTAGAAATTCAATATCTTCCCGACCGTAAATCCGTTTGACTCCGTTCAACTTCCAAAATTCCTCAAATCTCGAGATCTATCTAATGGCACGCTTAGAGGTCATTAATAGGGCTTTATTTTCGCCGTTTGTTGAGTTGTCCCGTTTTGCGTGTAGTTTCGGAGCCCGAAGACCCGTAGTGCGAGGATTTCGAGGATCAAGCTCAAGATCTCGAGCGAGGCAAGCCACCTTTGAACATCTTGAGCCTATATTTGAACTTAATTATGTTGCTTGAAAAATATTATGCATTGATAGGATCACACTTAATCTGCTTGTCCCGTCTGCAAGGCAGATTGGCGGACCTACCTATTTGTTGCATTTGATCCTTCCTCTGTTAATTGTTATACCATGTTTCCTTGTAACCACCTAGTCGCGCCTCGAAAATCGTGCACTCTGCACGAGTATCGACGGTCGCCTTCAAACTTAAAATCTGAGTAACTTCTTGGGTAAAACTTGGGTTTTACAAAAGACTTGGAAAACCCGACACCTGGGTCGGTGCTTGTGAACTAAATGAATTTCCAAAACCGCGGACCGGGGAACGTACCGGGTGTACGGTTTCCCGCTCTTACACTTAAGGACCGTTTCCTTGGAATTTCATCCGAACATAAGACAAGTACGACCACATGGGTGGAATGGGACACCCCTGGCTGAGTAACTAGCTTATCAGGGGAGCCTTGATGCCGAGAGACATGTGGATTCGCCGGGGTGGTGTCGGGGAGGATCCCTGGGCTTCCTGGCACAGTATGGTCTGGGACCTAACCTGTTGTTGGTCTGGGACCCCTCTCGTCGGCATATGGTAAACCTGTGTCGGCTTTCGAAATGCCTTGTCATGAAATCTTGGAGGTCTCCCGACGTGGCTGATCCCCACGGGCTGGGTGATCCGGGTTAGTAATGTCGTGTGGGTAAAGTGTACCCCCTCTGCAGAGGTGATTAAAACTGTTCGAACAGCCGTGCCCACGGTCATGGGCGGATGTGAGGTGATTCCTAGCGTAGTTTTGTTTAACTACTGCCTTGTGAATTTGCTGTTGTCGAAAGGGGATCGATGTTTGAAAAATCTGCAGCTGATGGATCAGCTAGGCCTGGGTGGCCGTTTGAAGGTTGTTGGCCCGGGTGGCCGTTTAAAAGTTGTTGGCCCGGGTGGCCGTTTGAAAGTTGTTGGCCGGGTGCCAACTTTGAATCAATTCAAAAGACTGATACATTGCACATACTCCGACCGGACGAGACGCACTGTCTCATCCGTGTCGTTTGAGAAGCACTCACTTAGTTGATTTCAGAAAAGAGTTCAAATAAAATCAATTGCAAAAACAACAGCCTTTCCTTGAAGCCTGCATTAAACACTTATTTCCCATGGCTTGCTGAGTACTCCCGTACTCACACTTGCTCTATATAAATAATCCCCCCCAGTTGTTGAAGAAGATGAAGCGGATCCCGCTGACGAGGAGTTCTTCCAGGAGCAAGCCGGCTACGATGAGTTTTAGGGTTTCGGCCTAGTTCCCAAGTCGCGCCTGTGATGTTTGGTCCAAGTCTTGGCTTCCGCTTCCCTTTTGTAATGCAGTTGTGAGCTCGGGATCTGTCCGCAGCCCAACATGACTGTACTCCTACTCTATAATAAAGAGACCTCTGTTGCTGTGATATTCTGTCTTCCTGTGATACCAGCACTGTTTCCTAGGACTGGTATCGATTAACAGGTTAATTTGGAGCGTCACGGGCTAGTTCCGGTCGGGACTAGTTCGAGGCGTGACAGTTTGTTTGCCGCATCCACTAAGATAACCATTGGTGATGGGAATATAGCGTGATTCTGGGACTCTGCGTGGATTGATGGGAGAAGACCAAAGGACCTCATGCCCCTAGTATACGCAATTTCTAAGAAGAGGAAAAAGACCCTGCGCCAAGGAAAGGAGAATGATGCCTGGGTAGGTGATTTGGCACTGGAGACAAACCCAGTAATTACAGTGGCCCTTTGTGGAGCAGCTGGTTGCCCTATGGACTGCAGTCCACAACGTGCAGTTAGAAGAAGAAGAGTCAGACCAAATCGCCTGGAAGTTCACTCCTCATGGGCACTACTCGGCTTCATCGGCCTACAAAGCGCAGTGTGTTGGCGCGCCTGACACAACTTTTGACTTCTTGATCTGGAAGGTCTGGGCGCCCGGAAAATGCAAACTCCACGCTTAACTTATCATACAGAATAGGGTTTGGACCTCTGACCGGCTTGCGACCAGGGGTTGGCAAAATAATGGCAGGTGCCCTCTCTGTAGAAGAGAAGATGAAATGGCTTTGCATCTTGTCGCTGAGTGCAGGTATACGAGACGGATTTGGAACCTCGTTGCGACATGGGTAGGGTTCCACCAGCTAAAACCCCGACGCTGGGGGGTGGCGCAATCGGTTAAAGATTGGTGGGAAAGGCTGGCCTCTGTGTCTGGCGTCCCCAAGAAGGGACTCCGCACCCTGATTCTACTCATCGTATGGGAAGTCTGGAAGGAGCGAAATAGGAGGATATTTGATCATAAGGAAGCCGCAACCTCGTATCTCCTTTCAAAGATAAAAGAAGAGGCTGGCATGTGGGCCTTAGCAGGCGCCAAGCGTCTTGGAGAGATCATCCCGCAGTTTGTATAGTGTACAGCTTTCCTTGTTTTTTGCTTTTTCTTTACCCTTAGGGGTTGTATTTTTCTCCTGCTATATTCAATGAATAAGCACATTCTTGTGCTGGTTCCTTTCAAAAAAAAAAAGATAACATCACTTACTTTGTAATGCAAATACTTCTTGAAATTCTTAGGAGAACTAGTAGTAGGTTGATCTTAATCAGATGAGTATGGTTTTCAAAATTGCGGCAACTAATTTCGTGTTAGAATAAATTTATAAAACGTAATAAGCTTATGTCTATTGGAGGTAGATCTACATATAACATTTATTTTTTAAAAAAAGTAGTATTTGAGAAATTATTGAAAGTTAGAATTTTAAAGGGACCATCAAATATTTATGAGTGACGCGATGTGCCAGCTGCTGCCAAAGCTCAAGTCTGAAGAAAGAGTACAGTACGCAATTCTTCAGGCCTATTTTAGATGGGCCTTACTCTGGGCTCATCTTTGTCTAAAGACCTGTAAAATTCCAGCCCATACATGTGAATTGGCCAGGATTGAGGCCCATATCAGCGAGGTACATGACAGAATTTTGTTTATTTATACATTTTTTATTAAAATATTTACAAAAATATTTTTTTATTTCGAAAATTTACAAATCTAATCGCCCTCCCAAAGGGCGGCAAGGGACCTAAATGCAAAATTTTTATTTGTGTTCAAACCCTTTCCACCGGTTTTAATTGCTTAAAAACTAATAATGCTTATTCGATACTTCAAATGATTTTAAATGAAAAAGTGATAAACTACAAAGTTATAGATCTCATCAAGATCTACAACTTTTATATAAAATTTATCTCCATCCAATGTCGTTTGAGATGTAGATCTGAGATTTTTTAAAATGTGTTTTATATTTTGTAACGAATATTTGAATATCTAAAACATCTTAAATGAAAAAGTTGTTAACTACAAAGTTGTAGATCTCCTTGAGCTCTACTATTTTGATATAAAGTTTTATTACATCTGACTTTATATAATATAATTTTAAATTATAAAATCATAGAGCTAACAAGTTGTACTGAAAAATTTGCATTTAGATTCCTTGCCGCCCTCTGGAAGGGCGATTTTTAAAAATCGCCCTCCCAAAGAGCGGCAGGCGATTAGATTTGTAAATTTTTGAAACAAAAAATTATTTTTGTAAATATTTTAATAAAAAAAATGTATAAATAAAAAAAATTCGTACATGACACACATTGGAATATCTGCCGAAGTGAGAAATGGATAATGGAAAAGCGAAAGCATGTACGGGAATTTTCAGAGATTGGCCTACCTTACGTAATAGTATTATTATTATTTTTAGAAGTATATGACAAAAATAACTTCATCTAATATAATACACGGTTACAGTAAATCATGCGTTAAAAAAAACTGCCTCCCGATCAGTCTCTACATGAACTAGATTACATATATTCAGAGAAATTAAAGCACCTTCCTTATTGATCATACATGGCGATCGATCGATGCACCACCACCATCTTTGGCTTAATTTCATCGTGCTCATAGCAAGAAATGAATCACTTGCCCAGTTGCTGCTTGCTAATTTTCTACTACCTGCTTTTCTCCATCGATCAGTTAAGTTGGTTCAGCTCCAGCCTGCACCATTCAGATCGATGTTTTCGCGCCTGTGAGAGTGGGACGACGACCTGCCATTGATGCTGAGGTCCAGCTCCGACGCCTGCAGCGTGCTCATCTCGCGGCGCCGTTCATCCGAACACGATCGTCGCCTGCTCGGCTCGTTGGGGAACAGCAGGTAGTGGTGCTCCTTGCCTGATCTTGCTGCTGCCGGCTCAAATGGCGGCAAGCCGATGGACAGGATGTCCTGCTCTCCTCTGTGGCCATGAGAGCGCGAGTGATGCGAGCCCTCGCAGTCGCAGGCGGTCAGGCAGCTGTCCACCGATCCATCGCCGACCTGCTGCTGCTGCTGGTGATGGTGAAGCTGGGTGTGCTCGTTTTGGAGGCGTTTCGATGAGGAGGCGTTTGCAGTTGCAGCAGTTTCTGCTACGGCGATGGTGCCGAGTGCCTCCTGCGCCTTCTCCAGCACTGACTGCAGGTACTTTCCTTGGGCTTCAATCCGAAGCTGCAGGTGTCTTTGTACCTTTTATTTTCAGGATCCATGATCACTTATAAATACTACTGATTTATTTATTAGGAGACACAAGACTATTGCTATGCATTGTTACATATATTCCATCGAGAAACAACTGAAAGATTTTTATATATACCTCTAGTTGTTCATGCAGCCGTCTCTGCACCTCAATTTGCATCTGGAGGGCTTCATTTATGTGCATAGAACTGCTAAAAAGATTGTGAAATATACATTACATTCTGATGTTTGATGTTTCTATTCATGAGAGAAAAAATTAACTTTATTTGCTTCTTAGTTACCTGTTTGTCTGAGTCTCTAGGTCCAAGTGACTAGCCGGTGATCCATTTCCTTCACATGGTTTATCTATCTCTGTCGTACTACAACCTAAGACTGAAAACGTGAAAGCAAGTTTACTATCTCGCTTATTACTAATACTGATAATCAAGCTACTTCAGAGTTCAGAATCATGTAGCACTTACCACCTTGTGCACGGGAAGCATTGGCTTGAGATTGAAGATTCTTGCTAAGTCGGTATTTCTACGATAAAAGAAGCCAACTTAGTTTCTATCTTCAAGTCACGAATAATGCTAGACACCTATAGTTTAAACATATTTCAAAATGTACCTGAAGATGACTCTTAAGATGGTAAAGGGTTAATCCAGGAATTCCCATGAGCCTCATGATTGTTTTCGGCGTCGCCTCTGAAGAAGTTTCAAGTGTAGCCATTGTAAGATATGCAAATTTACCATTCCTCTGCTGCTTCAAAGCATGAATGATTAATTAAGTTTTGAATACTCACTGTCCGGCCCTCCCAGCTGATTTACTGCTTCCACAAAACGCTCATGCAACTCTGATGTCCATTTTAACCGAGGTTTAGCGTCGGTCGAGAGGACAAGCCCTGATGATGAATCTGCTCCGCCTTGCAGGAGAAATTGCTTCTCCGGAGGCAAACCCGGCCTTGAAGACAGGTGCTGGCTATCACTCTGAACCTGTTGCTGATGATACATCATCTGCCATCAAAGATGTCATGTTCCTAATTTGCAGATATCATCTTGTGTGAGCATAAGCATATGATACGAAAGGCCTCTCTTCCTTGCATGGTTCAAAGAAACTAACACAGTAGTACATACAGACCTGTTCAGTTCCAGTCATGCACTGAAATGTCTGTCTGCTTGTAGTAGGCTGCACATTTATCAGTAGTGATAAGATCCTCTGCAGCCTTTTTCAGTGCCTCTATTTGTAGTAACCAAAGACTTGATTGGATTATGTGTGTATGGTCTTCTGGGAGTGAGACAACCTTGGCTTCTTCAGACTATCTGCCTCTCCAATGACTAGCTGCTGCTGCCTCTGCTCATGTCAAGGTCTCAAGCAGAGAGTCTTGAGTCTTTATAAGGCAGGGAAGAGAATGTGGAATCACTGGGACAACACACACACTCAAGCCTGCCTGACCCAATCTTTGCAGCAACTGAAAAGAGATATTATCCTTATTCTCTCAGGGTGCCCGTGGACCCTAACCTCTGCCGATCTTTTCCATTGTAAATTCCAAAAACGCTCTCCCATTCTGATTATACACTTGTACCAACTTTGGTTGAAATTACATGGCACATGAGAAGGGCGAAAGGCGAAGAACAATCTTTTATTTTTCTTCCTTTTCTTTTCTTTTGAGAAACTAGGGGGAGGGAGGGGCGGGGGGAGCACCTTATTCTCATGACAACTTTGGGGCTGTGGTGCTGCAAACCTATGGTGTTAGAACTTGCCGGCCTCTTCGGCTGGATTCCTGAATGATATCCATAGTTGAGAACTAATTCTGGTCTCCACTGCATTTCTGGAGGCCTATAAGTGTTGAAATGAAAGGGCAACATCTGTGGTCAATCAGCATTGGTTAAGATTCCATATGATCTGCTGTATGATCACAATGAATTGTTTCGCATTTTGCCCGGATGCGGTGTACATATGTGTGCACAAGTTCTTTCTTGATCAGAATTCAGGCACACTTGGTTAAGGAATAATAGAGTGGTTAACCTAAGAGGCCCAAAGTTCTTTTGACTGCAGCTGCAGCTGCAGGCATCCAGAAGAAGAATTGTGCAAAGTTGCCTGCATAGAGTGAAAGTGAAGTTGCCCATTCTATAACCCCTTTGATGCCTTCTTGGGGTTGCACAAAGGCATGGAATGGAATAATGGAATAAGCATAGAATTCCCTTTTGTCTCCTTTGGTAAGTTTGGCACCTGTTCAGCTACCTGCAAGCCAAAGCAAGCTGCTGGTAGGGTTAAGGCAATCTAAATAGGGCTGTGTCTGTGTAACCTTTTAAGCCATTGCCGTAACTTCGTTGCTGTTCTTCATATGGCACCCAAAAGTGAGCTTAAAATGAAGGTTTAGTTCCAACGTTTTTAAGCACTCTTTGCTGCTTTCCCTTTATTCCTGCCTCAAAAAAACCGCCTCTAGAAGTATCAACAGCACTCCCATCCTTGTCCATTCAGGTTTAAATCCGGGTTAGGATCCCACACAACTTTGTGACCGACATATGGATCTAACGAAACCTAGACCCACATGTCAATGATAAAGTCACTGTGACTTTAAAGTTAGAGGAACTGGTACCAACTGTCAGGTACACATTCAGCAAGCCATACCAAAATTTTTAATGAACGCTAGAGCTTCTTGTCAGATCTCAAAGGGAGATGATCATACTTGCATGCTCCCACAGTGCTACGTCATGTGCGTTTCATGATTGCATCAGCATCTGTAATCCTTTTGAAGTTTATAGACTCCTGCCATGTGAAAATGAGAGGAATCTAGACGATAAGCTTGCGGCGTAGTGGACTAGAGTTTTATCCCCCGTGACCTTTCTTTCTACACCCCAATTAACCTTGTCAAGTTGGTGTTGCTCAGGAAGACAACTTGTTAATTGCAAGGGCTGTAAATATTCCTCACAAAATTTACCTTTATTAGTCCTTTTTATATACTAGTACGGCCGTGCTGTTTCACTCGCGTAATAAGTAGGAATAATTCATCCAGCCTGTTATGTTAATGTTTGGCCAAGTACAGTTGTGTTGTTTCAGAGTATCAAACTACTCCAGGTAGGATACAAAGTTAATAACGCAATATGTGCCACGAGAGTGATAAACCAGAGATCAAGTATTCACCAGAGATCAAGTATTCAGATGCTGCAGGTCTGGTTGAAAAAGATTGACAGAGTATGGGCATACGAAGGCAGAGCACATCAGTATTTTCGTTGTTCTTTCAAAAGTCCCTTGCATTGCACTTTTATTCGGATTTGTGCCTGTTGCTGTTACGTGGTTCGATACAATTTCATCTAAGTTGGTAAGGGAATCTTGGTGGCTAACCCAGGTACGGATATCACTTGTACTAAGATAAGCAAAGTGCTCCTGTGATATGGTATCTATACCTGTATTTCCTTAGCTATATATCGAAGTTGAATATGTTCTGTTCCAGCTGATAGCTGCCTGATTCTCCAGCTTTGGTCGATCGTGAGTTGTCAACAAAGGTAACCGATCAATGATCATACAGAGAAACTAAAACCATGTTTATGTTCCAACAGCATCGGTTCGTGAAAGAAAAAAAGAACTATAACACGGTACCGTAGAATATGGAATAAACTCCTTCAGCCCTAATGGCCTTAGCTTTCTCTAACTCCGTTTTATGCTGTTATATATTTGGGAAAAGAATACATGAATACATTCGGTTGTTACTTGTTAAATGTTTGGTATCATATGCTTTTGTTCTCTCTTTGCCCATCTGTCCGGCTGGTAACCTCTGTTGACAGTTTCATGCATGTAACTCTTGATGCTCGCATGCCCATTTACTTGTTGAAATTAAAGTACACTAAACCAAACATCACAACATGAATTAACTAGGCGTTAGCCAAATACCAACTTAGCATACCGGTACCAGGATGATAGAATATTTGTATTAACTTAGAATTCTGATCATGCATGCGCACTGCTCATCTATCTCTTGTTGAAAGAAATAGGGGGTCCAAAAATGTTCGTCAGTCAGTTCCATATTAGCCACTGTGTTCGATGTACAAATATCGAGGTTGAACTTACCAGGTGCTGGGAGTTCCACAATAGCTACAGCTAATGCACGAAGAACAATTTTTGGTGCATGCATAAGGGCCACTGCAGCCGAAAGGAATGAAGAACTAGGATACCTGGAAACAACTCTGTTATTTTCTCATCTGTGTCAAAAGATTCGCTGGGGGTCCTCCAGATCCAGCAGAGCCACTCCCAGCAAATGCCGAGAAGCCAGACCCTTGATTACCACCAAAAGCTCCAAATCCACCTTCCAATTCAACCAAATGGAGTTAATTCTCAGAAAAATGGAGATGGAGTTAACAGATTCTAAGCAAAAAAATAAGTGTGAGATATGTGCATTAAAGCTTTAGTAGCTGTGGAGCAAATTGGATAGAATTTACTATTAAGTCACATTTGTCCAGACGGTCAAACTGCTTGTACCAAATACATTATTTTCAATTAAAAGGAATACCTTGATTTTTAATCCTTTTTGCCAGTAAAGAATGGTTAGGCATATATCATTTGCCAAAACCATACGAGAACTTAGAAGTTACAAATGACAACACTATATTTAAGTTATGAAATAGATTGGAAAAGATGGTTAGGCAAAATGATCAATGATTACTCGATCAATAATGGATAAATCCATTATATGCTATAGAGCTAAGTAAATCATGGTATGCAGAACAGCTTATGACTTACCGATTGAAAACTAGCTGTGAATGAACTTAAATTAGCACGCTACTGCTAGAGCAAATACCAAACACTATTATTCACAAGGAAAATAAAAGTAACGCATTTATGTAAAATAGACCTAATAGAGCAGCCTTACCAAAGTCAAAAACAGACTGCTCATGTTCCTAATATGGAAATTTAGTTCCACATTTGGTTATATGCTAGCAGTTCAAGTTTAAAGAATAGTTGGGGAGTGGCAGGCTTTCTAAATTTCACAACATTGTCACAATATATATCAATCAACAAGATCAAGTTGATAATCACCGGTTCGATAATTAACTACTATTCTAGGACATGTCTCAAACACAAAGATGTGGACACATCTAACCATGAACATGTTGATGTAGGCTACATCATCATGATCTCAAAGACGAAAACAGCAAAAATCCAGAGAGCTCACCACTGCTGAAGCCACTTCCCTGGGCTGCACCTCCAAAGCCGCCACCAGATGAAGCCGCAGCCGCAAAACCCCCACCTTTGGAGGCAAGAGCAGCAAACCCTCCACCAGTAGCAGCAGCAGCAAATCCTCCGCCAGCAGGAGCAGCAGCTGCAGAAAAGCCACCGCCTGTTGCACCACCAGCAAATCCAGAATTGCTAGAAAAGCCCCCGGAAGCAGAGGCACTAGCGAATCCACCAAATCCCCCAGCACCGAAACTTCCCAATTGGCGTGATTGTCCAAAAGAACCCAGGACAGATCCAAGTGCTTGCTGAGCACCAAATTGTGCAGGCTGCCCAAATCCTGACTGCTGTGCTGTCCCAATTTGTGCAGGCTGCCCAAATCCTGACTGTTGCGCAACTCCAACTTGTGCTGGTTGGCCAAATCCTGACTGAATTTGTGCTGGCTGACCAAATCCTGCCTGCTGCCCAGCTCCAATTTGTGAAGGCTGCCCAAACCCTGACTGCTGCGCTGATCCAATCTGTGCAGACTGTCCGAATCCACTAAGCCCACTTGAGAATGCACTAGAAAATGTACTTGAGCTAGTTGATTGAGATGACTGTGCTGGCTGAGATGAGGGAATACTCAGTGACGCCGGACGGAAAAGCTGTCCTGGACTGGTTGTCAGGGTAAATGACGAACCTGAACTCTTATTGTCAGAGGTAGTAAATGAGTTCCCAAAGGGATTGGATTTTGGGGGACTTGAAGAAGGCACAGACCCAAGACCAAACCCACCAAGGGCTCCCAAGTTGAGATCCGAACTTGCAGAAGGAACTTCCTCTTCCATATCATCTTCATCTGATGAGGGATTGCTCGGTCCTACATCTTTTCCGGTGGAAGTGACAACAACAGATTCTGCAGACACTGGCACCACTTTAGGTGCAGAGACAGGAATTGAAGGTAAGCTTCCACTGGTTGCTGGAATCGATGAAGGTTTGCCTTCAGTGATTGGTACGCTTGAGCTAGTACTTGCAGAAACGGTTGTTCCAGTTACCTCTGATGTAACCACTTCAGGCTTAGATACAATTTTATTCAAGCCAGTTGATGACTCCTTAACAGGCATTGGAATAGATAGTAGGGAACTAGATATGGTACCATCAGGTAATGGTGATGAAGGTTTTGTCATTGATTCCTTTGATGGAAGAATGGAAGGACCTGTTGGAGACAAAACATCTGATGTTTTTGCAGCTGATTCTTGCATAGTTGACGAGGATGATGTAGCTGAAGAGGGAACAGTTGGCTTAATAGAGCATGGAGAAGATTGTGCAACAGGTGTTGGTGGAAATGCAGGAGGTTGGAATGCCACCTCAGGTTTAGCTTTCACTGGGCTCTGCACTGTTTCAGTAATCTTACCAAGTTGCACAGTCTTCCCTTGTAACAGAGCAGACTTGGGAGGTTCAGGAGACAAAGACGGTTTGTTAAGATCTCTAAATGCACCACCCATATTCTGTGGAGAAACATCCAGTCCTTTTGTGGTTCCCAAATATGGCATTGCCTGTCCACCTTGTTTGTTCTTTGTAATAATGGATGACGCACCTCCAGAATCCCCAGATAAAGTTTTCACGGTCAATGGACTCAGAGAGAATTTTGAGCCCGTCATCAAAGGCGACAAATCTGGGAGTGTACTGGTATTAGTTTTTGGAATGACAGTGGTTTTAAATGTCAAAGTACTTGACTTTGGCATGGTATGAGTTGTTCCAGAGGATGGAACATTGGATGAGCTGATATTATCCCAGACATCCTTATGTGAATAACTGAATGACAACGGTGAAGATGAGCCCAACTTTGGTGTCTGGTCAGAACTTTTCAGCTGCCCTGGTAATTCAGGATACTTATGCTGAGGGCCTTGAGATGGTCCAGCCGATTCCTTTACCCATTTGAACAGTGTGTTGTGCTGGGGTCCTGACGGCTTTGTTTTCTCGTGCAGCACTGTAAAAATGATTCAATAAGAAAGTTGTACCCAACTCTATAATCAAACTTTCTTAAAATAATGAAATTTCTACTGAAGAATTGTTAAATAGCTTACCTTCACTTGGATAATGCAGCTTGTTTGCATATGATTCTACTATGGAGGAAGTGGGGCTACTGCTGGACTTCTCCTGGGACATAGCTGCCATCTGAGAATCAAATATTTTCTTATTTGACCTGAATGGCAGGTCACTGCTGATCTTGAGGCGCTGTTGTTGCGCTATTCTTTTAACAGTAGTTTTCTGAGGCTCCAAACTAGCCAGGCTCTAAGAAATTGACAAGTATTTTGTGGTTAGATTTGCAGCCAATTCACCATACATAGAGCAACAAGAAAATACGATGAGAATGTGCCAAAAGAAAAGAAGTGCAGAAAGAAGTGATAAAATGGAACAGAAAGATCCACATTTCTTCCCTCAATCATGTGCATAATGCATATATATGCAAAGTTTGGGTCTGGGTTAAAAAATTTACCCTATCCAGTGACTCTCTCCTCCTCCTTGCAGTCTCAGGCTCAGCAGTCTTGGAAGGCCCTGATATGCTAGTTATGTGTTCTCTCGTTGATGGATATCTCTTAACTGACTTGGAAGGAGTACCACCTGAAAATTTGGCTGCATCCATCGTGTGATCTAGACCAATCGATTCAAACAACTCTTTGGCCACTGACCCTCGCTTTGTAGAAGGAGAACTTATATTTAGTGCAGATATTTGTTTTGAGAGGCAGTCTGACAGTTGTTCAGCTGCTGCTAATTGTGAATTAAGCGCATTGTAAACACTGGATATTTGTGTCTGACTGCACAATAAGAAGATAAAAATCAGATAAGAAACTCACATACATCGATTTATATTTGAAAACAAAAAAAAAGATTAAAGTATTCTTTTCAGAATAAACAGTTTCTTATTACCATCACCATCCCAAAATAACTTCATCTTTGCCTATCTCACACATACCAATACAAAAGCCAAAAGACTAGGATACCCATCACTTTTTCAAACTCCAATGCATTTATCCCCAACTTCCTCAAACTCCAATGCAATGATTGCTCTAAAGTTGAAGCATTTGTGGGACAAATGAATTAGGTAAAGTCGTAAAGATGAAGTTATTTTGGAACGGAGGGAGTACTAAGAAAGAGTAAAGAACAGTTTATAATTTTGTCATTATGATGTGGTAAAAGTCGTAAAAGCGACTTTAGAGATATGTTAATGTGTGAGAACAAAATCAAAGAGGTATGAACAAGCTAACAGCATATGTACAAGCTACTACATGCATCTGTACCAAGATAGTTTCTGCTCACCCTGATCACATAGCAAGCTAGCAAAGCAATTGGTTACTTTGAAAATTCAGAAAAATAATTGGATATTGATCAAGTTTGGTACACCATCCATTTAATGATATGACTAAACACACAGGAATTGCTCGTGAGGTGTAGTATTGAGTACCTGGATCGTGCCTTACTAGAATAAATAGCTCTGCGACTAGAAGCAACTCTTCCTGTTTCTCCAAATTTGTTCATCTCCAGATTATTGAAATGCCTCTCCAGCTCTACCAGCTGGTTTGTCAAATTCTGTATGACAAAAGAACCACGAATTACAAATTAGGCTGTTGATGTTATTTTCCTTAAAAAAAAGAACATAAAGGGTCAGATTGTACCTGGTTAGCCTTGAGAATATTCTGCCTCTTCGCTTCGAATTCTGGACTCAATTTCTGACGGTTCCATATATCCCAGTATTGGGTATCTGAAGATTGGTCGACGATTCCTTTCATGTAAGCTTGCCTAGCAGAGACTGTAGAGAAACAGAAATAAGTTTCTTATTTAGTGTGCTAACCAAAATTTAATTTACCCAGATAGCAGATGCAGGCTAAGTGTGGCGTCCACTTCTTGCCTAGAAGGCCAGGAACACTTTAAACCCTTTAATTTCCAATTGAGATATAAAACATTGACATCAGTAGAAAAGGAGAAACCGACAAATCCAAGCTCAAGTCATGATGGGTAAAACTCCTTTGTCATGTCACAACCATATCATTCACTTGGAAGGCTTTTTCAAACCCACAAAGTCGAGGAACTAAAAACAGACCAGGTCTAGCATACACTCAAGTTAAGGGCAAGCAATCAGCATTCCGCTTTCTGGGTTTCCTCAATCCTTATATATGGAATGCACAAAAGCATTGCCAAAACAACAAATTTGAAATAAATACAAACATAAAATGCCATCCCCACTCTCCACAATTGCAATGTTGACAAAATGTTAAAATAGCAGCAGAGCAAACCAGTTCTTCAAACCTAACCCTGGCCTGACGAATTGTTTTTATTTTTTTTTCAATATATATAAATGTGCAGTAGGCATGTATTAGGAACTACTCCCTCTGTCCCAGAATAAGTTAATCTAGTACTAGGATGTGTTACATCCAGCACTTGATTAACTTATTCTGGGACAGAGGAAGTATGAAGTAACCAAAGTAATGACAGTCATCAATTGATGGAAATATCAGAGATGATCGATATATCAATTTTCATTTTTTTTCCCAAACGCAAAGAGAGAATGTTGGTATTGGATGACCAACAATATCAACTACCAAAACAACGGCACCAAACCAGGTGTGGATAAAACTTAGCTAATTATCTGTAAGCACTATGAAGATACATATAACCTATATTTCTTTCAGGCATATATTGAAGTACTAGATGTAGTGTGTCTATTGGCAAAAAGAAATAACCACGAGTAGTAGACGTGCCTTGAAACATCTTATTCCGCAGGTCTTCAACTCTTGAACACTGTTCTGCTATCTTGTTCTGGAGATCAAAAATAAGAAGGAATTTCTTTAGCAGGTTAAAGGCAGAACTGGAAGATAAGAAAGGTAAAGGAGACCAAAAAAAAATGTGTGGTGAAAATTAGTATAATACCTTGAAGATCTGCAACAGTTCCAGAAAATTTTGCAAATCACCCTCAAACATAGAAAGAGGCCGTTCCTGGAAGGTTATGCAAGCATCTCTGAAACCACCATCCTTCTCTATGTATGATAGGAGTGTATCTAACTCCTTGGTCATATCATTAATCTGTTTAACAAAAGGGTAAGAAATTTACTAGTTGAAATAAAGATAACAAAAGGTAGACCCAAATTCCAATATTTAAAATATTCACTCTGTTTAAGGACATGTTTCATACAGTATTGCACAACAGTTGAGGTGAATAAGATATTAGCATGAAAACAATTGAAAGAGTAGAGAGATGAAATAAAACAGGAACCGAGCATGAGTGCAGAAGAACATAATTATCTATATTTATACCCTATCCTAAGGAGATTTAATATGGCAAATTGAACTGAAAAGGTTCAAAACATCATTTCCGAAGACAATATTCAGGAAAATTAATTACATGCTGAATCATAAAAAACAGACCAAACTGAGGCATTGGTAGTAAAAAAACATTATAATCAAATGTTTTTGTTGATCTTACACTGTAAAATTTTTTAGACAGGTCCTGTTCAGTATCGAACATTGCGCCTAACTTGAAATTTTTAGAATGGTCCACTACTGCATGTGTTCTGTCATGTGGTTTGTCAATGCTTTCCTGTGGTAGAGGTGATCCACGGGAGGTAGGAAATGCCTCAAGATTTCCTGTGCGAAAGCCAGTGGATGAAGGTCCAGCTGAGGAAGGTTTTATTGGAGAAATTGATGGTGATGACTTGGAACTTAAGCCAACTGAACTAGGAACTTTCTTATCGGTAGTGTAGCTGCTTTGCAGCGGGTGACTTCCAAAACCAGGTTCATTCCTTTCTCCAGGCTTAACCAGGGTAGATCCATCAGAAGTGAACACTGATGATTTATTAAAGCTAAGGTTACCATCTTTCTTTGAGTTCTGAGATCCTCCAAATGCTCCCACCGGCTGAGTGGAAGGTATGCTTCCTTTACCAAGTTGGTTATTTACGAAATTGCTACTGCTGCTTTGTTGCCAGGAAGAACCTAATTCACTAGATGTGTTGCTTCCAGCTGGACTCAAACTGACGCTATTAGCAGTAGAAAAGCTGAAAGATATTCCAGGTTTCAAGTTGCTTGCTGGTGCTAAGAAAGAGGCAGGTGCAGGTGAGGAAGCCACTATTTCCTTGGCTTTTGAAACTGGAGAACTGTTTTTCATATCTGTTGATCCATGCAGGTCTCTATCTGCAAGATACAAAAGGAAGAATTATTAAGTCTCCAAAGAACTTGGAAACCTAACAAACAACCCCTCAAAGATAAAGTAACTGCCGCATAACAGTCCTTTTACCTGGTTGTACACTAGAAAGCTCAGCCCCATCTGGGCGAATACTCTTGTCCAATGAGCTGGTAGCACTTGGAGTAAACTCTTTTCCAGATACAGTTACAGGTGAAATTTCTTTCATCACATCGCTATCTTCAATAGCAGATAGCTTTGTTTGAGGTAATTCAGAAGGATCAGAAATCCTAGGTAAGAGACCAGTGGCAACACATTAGTTTTTCTTTCCCAAACAAAGGTTAGTACACAGACGCTATAGCAAGTAATAAACAGACCATATTTTTGTTTGTGATTTGGCACTGGCAAACAGAGGTTGACTACCTGGCAAGATAATATATATTCAGTTTCCCTTCACCAGTCAGATAAAGTAGAATATGTTGAGGAGCAACCTCCTTTTGTTCAGGACCAACTGTTACTGTGATCTTCTGAAATAATGACACATTCTCGACACCAAACCCCAATATGACATTGTCATCACCATTCTCTGAAATGGTAGATTAGAGTAGAGAAACCCAAGTTTAGACTTTATTCACAGAGAAACAGTCTGCTCTAGTTGCGGCTGAATTATGTCTTACCTTGTAGGTCAATCCTAGGACTATATTTATCCTCCAACATCTCAAGATATACTACAGTTTTTTTGTCATCAGTTGCAGATGACCACTTCAAGAGAGAAATGTGTTCATCAATGCTCTTTTTGTTGGAAGTCACCATTAGATCCCTGTCAAATTACAATCACAGCTAACAAATGTTGGAAAAAAATATAAGTAAAAATAAATGCAATATTACCACATTGATGCTAATTGGCAGAACTAAGAAGATACTAATGCCCCAATCTAAGGTCAGAAATAACATAGCCAATTAGAAAAGTTGCATTGTGCAAGTTTAGTCCGTATAGCTTAAAATTTCAGCACATATACTATTTTACTTCATGCTATGGACAAAATAACATGAAATCCACCTATTAAACTCTCAGGAGGTGACAAAAGAACAGAAATGTTTAGCTAAATAAATACTTTGATCAAGTATTTACTTGCTCACAACATGAACATTTCTGTTGGACTCTTAGAAGTATAACAAAAAAAATACTGTGTAAATTGCAGCATGATAGAATATATCCCCACAAAATATGCCATATTTATCTATCAACACAATACAGTAGATAACTCAGGTCTGCATACCAGCGATGCAAATAGCCCAGCAGCAGATTAGGTCCAACTCCAGATGGTAAAACATCATCCATGATGCCTCGGAAAAAATCCACATAGGTGAAAACAACTGACTTGCTTGAATTCTGTAAGGACGTTGAAAAAGCACTTTAATCAATCAGAACCTTAATGCTAGAACTTAAGCGGGTAACTGGATTGCTGTCTCATTAAGAGGGCACCTCGATCAGTCAATACTTTTAAGAGGTCACAAGCTTTATAGCTTTATAACTTATTGCTTGAGTTCTATTATAGTTTTCAACCTCGCCAATTCATGGATGAGAATTAGGAAATCTTGTCGTCCGAAAAACAAAAAAATTATCACATATATATTAATCATGCACATGTTCTTATTGATAATCAGAACCAAATATTTTAGTATACATGCAACATCATAACATCCATATCATAACAAATCTGCTGTAAGCCCAAGTATTAGTGTTCTGGTACTGCAGTTTGGAAAACATATATGTATATGACAAGAAGTTAACAAAATGACTTTTGTTCTTAGGAATTCTGTAAACTTCTGGTTGTTCCTTCAGAAGGCTAGTTTCATAATAAAAACTACTACCTCTGTGCCATAATACAACTACTTTTGCCATTTCTTGAGGGGATTAAGGTTGAAGAGAGAAATGGTTGTGATTGGTTGAGATGAGGGAGTAGGTGAAGAAATTAAAATTGGGATGGTTGTGATTGGTTGAGGTGGGGAAGTAGGCGACTAGGCGGAGAAGTAGTAGTATTTTGGGACAAATGTCAAATGCCAAAGGTAGTTGTAACATTGGATGAAGGGAGTACCAAGTTCAAATCATAGAAAGTATCAATATACAGCCAATTCATAACAGCTCAAAAGCCTCTTAAATTTTGGCCAGTAGACACGGTATGGATCAAAGGATTCATCCACTGAATTAATGCCAAGGATTATGTAGCATTTCAATATATTAGCACAACTCATACATATATGAGCACACAAGTATGCAGATGCACGTGGTTATGACAGAATGATGGAGATGAAGGCTACAACATTCAGAAAATGGTGATGAGTTGTTCCTCTCAAACCGCTCCTCTCTTCTTTGAAGACATAATTTCCATTTGCTGAAATATATACAAATATTGCCATCACAGCAATATGAAAATATGCGTAAAACTAAATCCTTGATTATTTAAGGTAGCTTGTTTCATACAAGCATATGATAAAAAGGAAACATCGTTTTCTAAAAAAATAAAAAATAAATTTCATGATATATAATCTACACAGCAGAAGCAACTGGAACTAAACGACAGACTAACCTCAAAAAATGTATTTCCGCCGCTTCTTATTACTTGGACAAGATAACCCTCTTCATTGCCTTCTTCATTCAATCTTACAGAACCAACAACAATACTGTCATCGCGCACCCACCCAATCGAATCCACTGATAAAAAGAAAACATTAATAACAAATCAAAATGATCACCTACTTAACACAGTCCAATGCATTTGACTGTGTGCCTGCAATGATGGCAATAGAATAATAAAAAAATGAATAAGATGACCTTGAGGAAAAGAGCATAAACTTCATAGAGCATGGAACAAATCTTGAAACCCATGTTCACCCCATTAGTCATTTTTATTCTATAAGTGGCGATCATATTTGTGGGTTGTGTTTTTCTCACATATTTTTGGAAAATAAGAAACGGGTATGTTTAGCATGTCTGTGTACTGTGACGCTAAGAGTAACAAACCATGTGCTGCTCATGAAGTTTAGGCCTGAGTAACAAGCTTACTTGTTTCATTTACCACAGAATAGAAAACAATTTTACGAGTTTTACGCACTAGGACGTAGTGAGCCAATCAATATGTCCTAGTGTGTAATAGTGCTAATAGTGCTACCAAATTAAGCCTGGTGATGATTGTATCTGTTCTAATAGTGCTACCATAAACCATTTCGTTTAAAAATGTGTGAATAATAATAACTGCGAAGAACTTGGAGCAATTCAATAATTCATCCTGTAACTGGGGAATGGAGATACAGGCCACAAAAGAAAAACTGAATGGTGCTTACCTTTGATGCTAGCATCATCTGAATCACTATCATCAGACCATAGCTGGAACAAGAGGGGCATGCAACATATTTCCTTAAAATCTGATGATAATATGTTAAGTGTATTCTTTTTTGAAAGAACAATGTGAGTCCCTTCCTTGCAGCAGTCAACTGTATACATTTCAAAACGATGGGAGAATTCAGTTCAGAAACTAGTATGGTGGTGATGGTTAACTTCAATTACAACAATGAATCATTGATCAAGAAATATGCTATGCTAGCACATAATGGCCAAGGAGTGTGCTAATGACTAAAGGCAGGAATGCGCCAAAGATAAGTACTCAATATGGCATCATCCTTTTTATACAGCCCACAACAAAAATCAATCTAGTTTGTCTAGCTGTCTTCTGTAAAGACTAAGCATTATAGAAAAAAGATGACTCATAGAAACAAAGATCTGTCGAATGAACTTGCAATACCCACAGAGAGATATATGTTGCAAATGAACGATGTTCTTGTAATTTTCATTCACAATAATATAGGCTATAGCATCAATAAATTAATGGTTCTTACCATCTATGATCCAAATATATACCATTTACAAACCAATGCATGTTTAACAACTGTACAGATGCATTTCTAAAACAAAACTACAAAAAGGATCCTAGAACATGATCTCCTATCCAAAACAGTAACACGACGAAATAAGGTTTTCAAGTATTGAACTTCACAACAGCCAATAACAAATAAAATTTACTTTATAAGGTGTGAATATTGAATATTTGAAATATATTGGTGTATGCTATATCTCACATCTGCTTCAAGAAAGTTTCACTGGAATTTGTAACAGTTAGTCATTGCATAACATTGTGCCTCAAATTTATTAGGAATAGAAGAAGCCACAAACCAGCATCAACATTTTCCATTATGTCCTTCAGACCTTCCCCCAGACTTCCTTGAGACAGCAACCCGTCTTTCGAGAGTACAATAAAGGCTTTGGAAGCATGATTTAGCCACTTGAAATCTTTCACAGTGCTGGATCCTTCCAAGGTACATGATGACAGTGGTTCCACATCCTATGTAGCATAATTGTGAATAGCATGAGTAGAAGATACATGAGCAAAATTACTAGATGTATAAGAGATCCACGAGGTCAAAGTGCAAATAGACATGGGATACTGAAAACATTCACTGACTATAGGTCATTATCGCATAAACATTTCTGTCAGATATTGTTATGTAAAATGCAGCTCAGTAGGATATATATTAAAAAAAACAATTCTCCGGTTCTAATAAGTTGTGCTGGCCCTGTGGTTGAAATTTATCATCGACATGAGGGAAGGAGATGAGATAACCTTGTCTGTGAGCAGGGAAGAAGCCGAGAAGAAGTGGATCACACTGCCTGCGCAGGCAGCAAGCACCGATTCATCACGGGAGAGTTCGAGGAGAGAGACCCCGGGGAGAGGGATGTCCGCGACGCAGCAGTCCCGTGCGCAGCGGGTGGTCGACTTGCCCTTCTCGCGCGCCTCCTTGCTGGCCTCGATCAACGCCTTGGTCGTCGCAGCCATAAACCCTGGAAACACGAGGGGAAACCCGAAGCGGTGAGATCGAGATGGGAATGCCCTGGTCCGTCGCGACTTCTCCGTGGCTTACCGTTGGGGTGGGCAAGGAAGACCGCGGCCCGGCGGTTGGAGACGGCGAGCGGGCGCGAGGGAGGCGACTGGAGGTCGAAGAGCGGGAGCGGCGAGGAGGTGGTAGGGAGGAGGGGGATGGGGTCGCCGGCGAGGCGGAAGACGAAGTCGGTGGTGCCGTCCTCCTCGCCCTCGACCTCGTCGGAGAGGTCCAGCTCCCGCGGCGGCGCCATGGCCCCCCACCGGTGGTCGGAGGAGCCTAGGGTTTTGGGCGGGAAGCGGGACGGAGACGGCGCGGCGGCGAGGGAGCAATAGCAAATGGGGTTTCGTGAAGCGAGAGCGCTAGTAGCGGAGGCCTTGGCGTGGAGTGTAAGCAGAGCCCAGCAGCGTGGCCGGCGGGCGGGCGCACGCGGCGGAGGGGAGAGGGAGAGGCGGAGGCGGCCGCTTCGCTTGCCGGCGGTGATGGTGGTGGCGCTGAATACATGGGCTCTTGTCGTTGCCCCGTGGGCTTAATTGGGCCTTCTACTGGGCCGTCACATATATTAATTTGGACTTCTTTTTATTGGGCTTGACCTTGACGGTGAGTAAGAACAGAAGGCGCATGAATTTCAAGGAAAGCTACCGGAGGCGAGAAAATTCCGGCGATGTCGCGACGGTGACACGGCGACCGAACACAAAGATATCGCCGGCAAACTCACGCAAGCACCGCGCGACCGACGAACGGCAGGCGGAACCGCGCGAACAGTCGCTGCTTCCTTTTCGTCTCCACCTAGCGACGTGGAGCAACGCCATACACACGCTCCCATCCGCACGCGCATTTCCAGCCTTACTACTCTCTCGCACCATCGTCTTCCATCCGCCCATCTACCTCCCTCCTCCGTCCACCCTAACTACGGCGGGTCGCCGGCCATGCTCGCGTTCGCGGTCATCGTCTCGCCTTCCGCGTGGCCGAGAGCCGTCTCCTCAGCTTTCGCGGCGGCCGTCTTCGCGTTCCTGGACGTCGTCGACGTGCTCCTCTGCTTCGTGTACGGCTTCCTCGACGCCGTCTTCGAGGACAGCCCGGTCAGCTGCTACTGCCACGGGAGCCACAGCGCGGCGGCGCTGGACGACGACGACGAGGTCTCCGACACATTGTACCACCGGCGGAGCGCTCTCCGAGACGCGCTGATGGGGCTCGTCAGAGGCAGGAGCGGCGGCTCGCCGGAGACGGAGACGGAGCGGCGCAAGGGGCGGAGCCCGAGGTGGTCGGACTGCGGCTGCGATTCGTGCCGCGCATGGCAGCGCCACGACGACGGCCGGCTGCACTTCGTCGCCAACCAACCGCCGCCGCCGCCAAACGGTCTCAACCGCTTCCGTTATTTCTGTTACAATCCTTTCGCTTTGCCGTGTCGGCGACATTAACGTTCGCGAGCTTAGCTTTTGCAGATGGAGCAGTGACAACGACGCAGCAGAGTGGAGAAGAAGACGCCATCTTCATCCACGGCTTCACCTCGTCATCGTCGTTCTGGGCAACAGTGTTCCGCGAATCATCCATCCTCAACAACTGCAGAATGTTGGCGGTCGATCTCCTCGGCTTCGGCAAGTCTCCCAAGCCGGCAAACTGCATGTACAGACTGAAAGATCACGTCGAGATGATCGAGCGGAGCCTCATCGATCCACTCAACCTGAGCTCCTTCCATCTTGTCAGCCACTCCATGGGCTGCATCATCGCCCTCGCATTGGCTGCCAAGCACCCAGAACGAGTCAGATCAATCACACTGATTGCACCGGTAAGTACAGTACATATATATCTGAAGAAGAATCAGTGAGAGCTCTGAATTTAATTAAGGAAATATCGATCCGTTGCTTTGGTTGTAGCCGTACTTCGGAGCATGCGAAGAGAAGGCGAGCCAAGTGGCACTGAAGAGACTGGCGGAGAAGAAGCTGTGGCCGCCATTGCAGTTCGGATCCGCAGTGATGTCATGGTACGAGCACATTGGGAGGACTGTCTGCTTCTTGGTCTGCAAAAATCACCTGCTCTGGGAGCGCCTCTTCAGGCTCATCACAGGAAAGAGGTAATCACATACTAGGATTAATTCAGAGTTCAGAAAACAAAGCTCCTTTTAACTAAGATTGATTTTAAACAAAAAAAAATGTTGTTGCATGCTGCAGGGATGTGGACTTTCTGCTGGGTGATCTGACGAAGCACACGCACCACTCGGCGTGGCACACGATGCACAACGTCATCTGCGGTGGGGCCATGCTGCAGGACAGGAACCTGGAGGCCGTCGAGGCGGCCGGCGTCCCGGTGCAGGTGATCCACGGCGGCGACGATCAGGTGGTTCCGGCGGAGTGCGGCCGCCACCTCAAGGCCAAGCTTCCCGGCGCCGAGCTCCGACTCATGGAAGGCTGCGACCACAAGACGGTGGTTTTCGGCAGGGAGAGGGGATTTGCTGAGGAGCTCAGAGCATTCTGGTCCGCGTCTCATCAGAATAAGCAGCTAGCAGCATCTGCATCAGGGTGGGCAGGTTAACGGATGTTGATTGTTGGTGTGTAGAATAATGTCTGATATGAAATCATGATGTAGCATAGAGAAATTCAGTCCACACTTTGAAATTACTGGTACTACAATTTTTAGAGATTAAAGACTAGGGTGAATCCATCGACACGTTTCTTTCGTCAGAACAGTGTCCGTATATTGGAAAATCCTTTTCTAGCTCGTGGATTGGCAGATTAATCTTTGAATTTGCAAAGGGGACTTGACTGTTTCAGATATAAGCACTCACTCTTGTTTTCATATTATAAATCATAATATAAGTCGGTTTTATTTTTTTTCTATTCAAATTTTATTTAAGTTTAACCAAGTTTATAGAAACAATACCAAATGATTTAATATTTTTTTGATAGTATATTTGTTTTGTGTTAAAAAGAAGTTACTATATCTTTCTACAAATTTAGACAAACCTAATAAAAATTGACTAGAAAAAAAAGTAAAACAAATTATAATATGAAACTGAGGGAGTTGATACTATCGACGACATGAAGTTTGGCCTGACAAATGTTCATACCCCCATGTGGCTGTTAACTGGGAGATATAGATTCCTTTCCCGATTGATCAAAGCGCACAGAAATTAAGTCGTGCATATAGTTCAGCTACATTTATTCTCCGATCGCTTTCATAGCTTTTCCTTTTCTCATCGATCGAGCTGATTGCTGCTTCGCGTACGCGCCTAGAAATACAGCACGCCCCGTCGACCCGGGGGGTTGCAGATCGATCGGAAGCTCAAACGCACGCTAGCTACTGCAGGCACACCAAGCTGACGAACGACAACATGAGCACCACCGGAAGGGCTCTCCTCGTCGCTCTCGCCGCCGTTCTTCTCGTCACCGGCGACGCACTCCTCGCTCCCGCCGGTGGCCAGGAGCAGTACACCAAGGCGCCGGCGGAAGCGCACAAAGGCTACAGCATCGTGCCTGGTGAGCATGCAATTGAATCCATCCTAGCTATACTCAAACTCCCAATGTTATCAACTTATCATGTGATGATGATCGTCATCGTATATCGTATATACTGGGCCACGAGAAATATTGCATAATGGGCCCTTACAGATCGCATTACGGGGGCAGGATGTCAAGGCCCATGACCACGAGAAATTTAGCATACTGGGCCGTTGCAGACCTAGCTGGTAGCCCATGCCAAGAAATCAGTCCTCGTTAGTTTTGTACCACATCGCCTACCAGAGAGGATAGGGAGAGCACCCAGGGTATAAGAAGAGGGGTTCAGCTTCGTACCAACTCATACCTTTCTCGGCCTTTTGGCTAAGATCAAGTGTAGTATCTGTTCTTATCAGTTTAATATCTGATATGTGGGCCATGTGCCCACTTCGATATTAAATTTATTTTTTATGGGGGAGGGTCCACCATAGTGGCTTGCCACTGGGGCCCTCGCGTGTCGCCCAGGCGTTGCACTGCAGCCTGGGCCTGGCGCACCCCAACCAAGTCTCAACTTAAATTTTTAATTTTGTTTACAAAATCTAATCTAAGTTTTAAATTTATTTTTACCAAAGCTCAATCGAAGTTTTAAATATTTTTACTTCATTATTTCTTCATGCTCATTCAGGCTTGGTTTCAGCCCAGGAATGCAACTATTTTGAATCGACCCAAATTCCTTCAATTCGTAAATTCCTGCATCAATATGATCCCTTAGGAATTCGATTTGTATTTCTCATCACTGTACATATGATGGCTGTATGAATAATCTGACAGCCTGAATATGAACTAGGTTCAGTGATACTAGAGATCGCTTGGATGAGTTGGGTGGCCGACAAGTGTTATCCTCCAACCTGTCGCCGTTACTGTTCAGAGAGGATAATAACAAACGAGTACTATTGTAGCATAGTCACCCAGATTCCTAGCGTTTATACGTACTACAGAACGTATAATATCCGGCCTGTTGCTTCCCTCAACAGAGAACATGAAAGGCACATGATAGTTCAGCGTTGCTGATAAAAAGAGCACGAAGATTGAAGGACACGACGTAACATAGGCAAGCACAACTGGTTCAATACTTACTTCAGATTGTTAGATTTGCCTTTCCATGCCATGATGTAGTACTAGGCCATCACTTCCTTTAAAAAGTTCAGAACTTAACCTCTGCTAAAGAGAAGAAAGGGAAGACAGATAAGTTCAGCAATCAGCATTCCTGTTGCTAGATACTAGTAGAGTACAAAACTGCATGCATACAATTTCATGATTACCATATCTAAGTCTGGTAACTGTTCAAGACTTGAAGTGTTTATCATTCCTTTTGCTACCAACAAAGAGAATTTGAGGCCGTCTTGCGATATGTACGATTGGTACGTACTCGGTACTCTCTCTGAATGTTGAGCAAGCAATGAGCACACACACACACGATGACACGAGACATCTGAAAATTGGCACTTCGAGACTTGTACAGTAGCAGTAACAGTAGTAGTACCAATCCGATGTTGAGATGGATTGGGTGCAAACGCATGCAGGAACCAAATGAGGCCCCAACACCTGTATCATATCCACGATCTCCATCTCCATCCATGTTCCCCAGTACTGCAAATATTGCGCCAGCCACTGTATGATATACATGCAGGGGGATCTATCTATATCCACAGTGTTGAGAGCACCCACCAATCGCAGGCACGAGACGTGTAATCCTGTCGAGCCAAGGGACCACCCACGAGCGGCAGATCAGAGAATTTCACTATTGCAGCGGCTCCATCTCCATACTGCAGTCGATCGATCGATCGCCGACTCGCCGTCGCCGTCGATGTTGCTGTCAGCCGCCGACCGGCAGGCAGCCGCTCTCGATCCCTCTCTGAGAAAGTCGAGTCTGAATTTCTTCGCTGGCCACACTTGGCGCGCAGCTGCGTGCGTCGTACTCGCTCACTGTCCTCTCCTCTCCTCGCGTTGATGCCGTGTCCTACATACTGCTAGCTATCAAAAGCAGCCTCCTCCATTATTTTTGTGTAGCTGAAGGTGGAGAGAACGTTCCTTCTTGAGGCCTTTTGTTTTGTTTTGGCCACGAGTTTTCCATGCGTTTGTCAACTTGTCCTCCCCTATTTATTCCTGCAGAATTCGACGTGTGAGGTTTTTGGTCGGGAGTTACTACTAGCCACCAGTATTTCTTCACTCTGAAAATAGTAGGAGTATTTTTTTTCTAGTATATCTTCTTCTTCAGATTCAGCAAAACGGCTAAGGAATTCCTTTCGGTTGGTTTCTTCAATTGACTATACTTTTTAGTTATGAGGTTACTGTCAGTTTCTTTGAGTCTCATCTGAAGACTGGAAGGGTTTCAGATAAAATAAACAGCCATCCCCATATGTTTTAAAACAGCTGTATATTAGTTCTACTTTAATGAGTGATTATTCCGCTTTTGTTCTTCCTCCTACCGATTTCATAATTAAACATTGACCAAAAGTAGAGGATTATTGGTGAACCATACCATGGGAATGTTAAATTATCTCTAGTCACACTAGCCATTTTTTTAATCCTGTAAACGGCTGAAGGCATATGTTAATCACAAACCAAATCGTGTACATAAAAAAATTGCAAGGACCTATTTTTTAAGAGTCAGATTAGGTAGATCTCAAGAATGATTTGGAGCCGACAGGGCCCAGATTTGGTGGCATCAGCATGGTAGCTTATACTCCTAAATCCATAGCTCACAACTGGCTCGAATGTTCATCGGAGAGGCATCTTAATTCATTCAGTTATAAGTGTTCCCTCCCCTGTTTCAACCATAGCATCTGATTAAAAATCTTCAGACATTTTTAAGCCCATTTCGAGACAATTAAGCCACTAAAATCAGTTATGCTACATTTCCAAAAAAAAAAAAGAACCTCAGTTACCTTGAGCCGAGTGCACCATGTGCTGTATTGCCGTGTCCGTCAGGTAAACAGTCCTTATCATGACTCAACAGTTCATAGCTCCTACATGACCATGATATGCTCATCGAGGATTACGAGCATGTGAGTGAGGGGTCACCGAATGAATCAAAGAAAAAGGGACAAGATGATGGATCGATGGATGTATCGCCACCAGCACCGGCACCAAGCTGCAGCAGATCGAGTAAAGCACAAGATTGTTTTTTTTTTTTAATTTTAACGCAAGGAAAGACTGTTGAAAGAGCCTTTGTGCTCATGAAAGGGCAACATCACTTTTCTAGATAAGGGAAAGACACCTTTTATTATAAAAAAATATTGCAAAAAAATGTTTTTTTATTTTTAAAAAAGGATCTTTGAGCTGCTGGACGAGCAAATTTGACCTTGTTCATGGAGAGAAACCGTGCGTATGCATGTCTTGGCTTAATTTGCATTTCGTGTCCATATCGATCGATCAGAAGATCACGAGAAGTAGCTCACGTAGTACATCTAGATCGTCCTATCGAGTACACGAGCAGCACCACGACAAAGAAAAAAAAAATCAAACATGGAAATTTCCATAAAGAGGTTTGATGGCGTGAACCGTTTTGCAGAGCCAACTGTGTTTTGCAAGCTTGCATAGCATGGATCTACACTGAAAAATTATTAACCAATAATTCTTACAAGCACACTGAAAATTAATCAGGCTTATGAGCTCCTCTAATCCCCTACAGCTACAAGCTACTGATCGAATCGAACTAGGGGTGGTGATTCTTTTGGTTCCCATTCGATTCGAATTCGTTTCAGTAGAACCAGTTGGATCCGGCGTACTTCGCCGGCGGTTGCTGCATGGCGCCGCCGTAGTCCACGGCGCCCCCTCCTGTCACGTTGAAATTTGAACTGAACCTGAACTCCGGCGCCGCCGCCGCCGTGGCGGCGACGTCGCCTCCGAACGGCGCGTCGTCGCGGATGAAGAAATTAGCCTGCTGCTGCTGATGGTGGTGGTGGTGCATCTGCGTGGCGGCGGCGACGTCGTTGTCGTACATGGTCATCAGCCCGGCGAGGCATCTCTGGCCGTCGACGGGGAGGTCGAAGTCGAAGCTGCCGAGTGGCTCGAAGATGTGCGGCGGCGGCGGCTTGCTCTCGGCGGCGGCGGCGGCGGCGTTGTGCTTGCAGGCGTACTGATGGGCGTTGCGTTCGTTGCGGTCGAGGAAGCCGAGCGCGTAGTTGCTGTGCGGGCACTGCACGTTGCCGCAGGTGTAGACGCGGGCATGGCTGTCGCTGCTCAGCATCAGCTCCGGCTCGCTCCTCTTCTGGATGAAGTCGACGTCGATGGCCTCTTCCTTCATCAGCGGCATGATCAGGAACTTGTTGTTGCTCAGAGCAGCATCCATGGTGGTGGTGAGGTCCATGAACGCGGTCGCGTCGTTCTGCGCCTTCTGCAGGTTGTTGTTCCCGGCCTCGTCGCCGTCGACTCCTTCGACGTCGTACTCGCCGGAGACGCTGGCGTTGAAGGACGCGGCGGAGAGCGGCGGGGGGAGGGCGCCGGGATGGAGCTTGAGATAGAGGTCCTCCTCCTGCTTGAGGACGGCGAGCCAGGTGACGATCTCCTTGGCGGTCATCTTGTCCTGGAGGCACTTGGACTGACGCACGAGGCGGCGGACCTTGTCGACGTCGGGGGACATGTGCTTGATGACGGCGGTGAGCACGGCGACCTTCCACGCCTTCTTGAGGTCGTGCGGCTTCTTGTACGGCGGCGGGCCGAGCTCCTTGGGCACGCCGGCCTCGGGCCACCACGCCTCGCTCCCCTCCGGCCACCACGGCGGCGGCACGCCCTTCTCCAGCGGGAAGCGGCGCTGCGGCGGGTCGCAGTGCTGCATGAGCGCCGAGAGCAGCGATCCCAGCGTGGTGTCCTGCAGCTCGTGCAGGGAGTGCGGCCCCGCCGGCGCGGCGCCGCCGGCGTCGCCGTCGCACCCCGGCACGGCGTTGTCGGCCTGGTACTTGGCGATGGCGGCCGGGCCATTGCGGTCGAAGCGGACCTTCTCCTTCCACCATGAGCGGAGGTTGTCGGAGGCGCCGCTCACCGGCTTCCCCTTCTCCGGGATGATGCCGTACACGAACCCCTGCGCGTTGCACACCTCCATCATCTTGAGCATGTACTTGAGGATCCCGTCCTGCGCCCGCGACATCTTCTTCCGCCGCGCCTGCTCCTGCGACTGCCGCTGCTGCCTGCCTCCGCCGCCGGCGTCGCCCGCCCGGCTCTCCCTCCCGGCGCGGCTCTGCTGAAGCTCCTTGAGCCGCTTGTGCCGGACGCGGTCGCGCCACATGCGGCGCTCCAGCTCCTCGATGTCGTCCACGTCGTCGTCGTCGTCGTCGTCGTCGTCGCCGTCGCTCTCGTCCTCGGCGGCGAATCCGCCCTCGTGCACCTGCTGCTGCTGCGGCGGCGGCGGCGCCGGGTTGACCAGGTCGCCCTCGCCGACGAAGCACTCGCCTCCGAAGAATCCAAAGGCGGCCTTGCTATCAACGTCGGCCTCCGCCGCGAACGCCATGCGCCGATCCACCATGGTCACCGCTGCTCCCATCATCTCCTCGATCGTAGCACAGACTGACTTAATAGCAGCAGCAGAGCAGTAGCTATCTATAGATCCACCTGCACGTAAGCCGACCTCGAATTAGTTTTTTTTCCCCATAGTAATTACTTTGCTGATCAATGATCATAAGCTTTTGGTAACTCAAATGATGATTTCATTAACAAAGAGAAATGGTTTAGCAGAAGTGAAAACAAGCTAGAACATGCGCCCATGTGCCAAATGATGAACAAAGGATCATCAAAGGCCATCATCAAGTAAGAAGACAAAAATAAAATAATAATCGGGCCGTATACAGACACGCATCAAAATCAGGGAACTCAAAATGGAATCTTTATTGAATGAATCCTAGGAGCATGGAACACACACATACCTCTCTCTGACTCTCTCTATGCCCTTATCTGATCTCCTTCTGATTACTCTACCACTCTTTCCATAAGCTTGGCACTCAGCTAGTAGAAAGAGAAGAAGAGAGAGTGCCTTTGTGTGTGTGGACTGGAGAAGAAGAAGGACGACAACAACAATAAGGAGAAGTTAAAAAGGATAAGAAGAGAGGAGAGGAGAGGAGACGATGCTGCCAGCCACGAGTCCACTGTAGGAGGAGGAGGAAGAAAGGAGGAAAGAAGCAAGTAGGGGCGGGCGACGACGAACCGAGCGAGAGGTGCTGGGAAACAACAGCGACAACTACCATTTATAATGCCCTCTTGACTAACGCCTTTGCCCAAATTCAATCCAGGAAAATGCAGTACTACGGTTTTTAATACCACGTGTTGAGTGGTATCTCTCCTCGTGCGCCGATGAACAATTGTACTACCAAACCAAGGCGGCTTCTTTCGCTCAAAAACAAACAATTTGCCTTGCAATACACAATACTGCTGCGTACACTCCGTCAGTGACCAAGCAAATTTACCAGCATGATGCTTGTAAAACATGGTTCAAGCTCTGAAAAACAGTTTTTTTAATTAAAAAAAAGCTCCGAAAAACAATTGCGGAGTTCTGAACTTTTTTGTTGCAAAAGGGAACACACTGTTCATCGGCTTTAGGGGTGGTTCCTAGTTCCTGCTGGAAATTAAAAGCACAATAATTAGACAAGGTACCTTCATTTGCTACGTGGCGAACTCTGTGCTAATGGCCAAAAGGACCAACACAATCAGGGCCCTACCATACCACCCACACCACATGTAGTAGCAGCAGCAGTTTACAAGAGGCCTGCAAATTCTGTTGGGGAGAGGTAGCTAGGTCTCCTCCGTCTCCATGGAGATGGAGACCACATATTTACTCATTAGCCTTATCGCACAGCTATTGTTTTGGTTGGTTCCTCTAACTCTGAGATTAATTTCAGGATTTCAGGCCCCATGTAAAGGCTGGCTGGACCATCATGCCCATCTTCTTCTTCACTTGTGTCATTCTCCCTACCATTTCTCCATGTTTATCTGTAGGTGTCGGCAGGTTTGGCCAGCTTGCTCTCTCTAACTTCATCTGCAAATTAAAACCCAGCACCTTGATAGCGATCCACGCGTTTACTAAAGGATCGTTGAAAGACACCTCTTTCATCTGCGCTGCTCTTAATTCATGCTGTTGTATATTCATTCTGAAAAATGTTGTGTTGCTGTGCTGTAGTCAGTAACAGACTAACAGTAACACGCCTCATGCACATTCAATTTTGGAGAGGTCAAGTTGTAACATAAAGAATGAATTCTCAGGATCAGATTTCAGAAGACAGTGAATGAGAGAGAGAGATTTTGCACCATGTTTATGCCTGATGCTTTGATTGACAACAAAAGCAAGTCAACTGTATTAGCAACTTGCAAGCGTGGAGAGTAGTACTAGTATATCGAATGCTGCTGGGTCGACCATGTTTCCGGTAGCAGTGGCAATGATTGGCCCAAGTATTCTAGAGAGTTTTATTCAGTTATCGACATCTCCTCCCCAATCCTTTGATCTGATACACCACGTTGTACGCAATGTTTGCCAACTTATTTAATCCAGTTTGATAGTTCTATTTCAGGTCGTTATCGCTGTTAGTTTATTTTGCTTCTTTCTTCAAGTCTCCAATAGGAGGGATCACTACATTTGCAAATGCCGACTGAATTTTTTGAAAGATCGCCGACTGAATTTATTAACTTTTTTTTTTCTGAAGGTCAGTAAACTTGGTGTGACAATTTCTTGCCAAATTTCGGCACAAAAACAAGATGATTCATACTAGTACTAAGAAAACAAGATGACTTGCTTTAACTTTGTGAAGCACATGCCATCTCTCCAAAACCCAAAGTGAACAGGTTCTCTGAACAACGAACAGGTAGCAGAATAGCTCGCGGTGTTGCATGTGTAGGATGTCGCACGCAGCAGCAAAGTTTTACAAGAGTTGCAGATAATTGACGATGACAAGGATGTGCTCCCTCCTCATCAGGCAAGGATCTCCTTGGATCATCTCGAATCTAGATAGATACTCAGGAAGATCTCAGGAGCAAATCTCGTCGTCAATGGTGTTCAGTTCACTGAACAGGGCTGTAGAAACCTGCAATGATCTGAACATTGGAGTTCCAAGTCATTGCTTGGACTTGTGTGCAATCATTTGTCCATGTTCAGATCACTTTGGGCGATGGTCTTTCTGAATGACTTCAGAAATCTAACTCTATATCACTTATATAGCATGAAACATATGCGTAGTTTGCTTAGAATTTTTTTTGTCAAAGTTTATGAACTTTTGAATCTTGAGTTCGTTGTGTCTTATATCACTTTCATAAATTCTGAAATTTAAAATGCCTAAAAAATTTTTGAGCACATCTCTGTTACTCAAAGCACTTGAAAATGTTATACTGCCACATCATCTATATATCCAAATCAGTTTCAGCTTAAGCAAGCATTGGCAACTGTGAAAATTCTCATTTTATTCCTCCATATTCTGAACATGTTTGACTTCGAATTTCAGTAGGATGCCGGAAACCCATATTTCGCACGCTCTTGATTTTTTGGGGGATTTTTTCGTGGTGATTTAGTGGGTAAAAATGGGGAAAGGTTGGTCAGGGAAGAGAACTCCGACCCCCTAATGAGTCCGAATAAAGCTGACCGAGTGACCGGTTACCTCCTTCCGTTGAAGAATTTTGAGCACATCTCTGTTACTTGAAAAATGCTACACTACCGCACAGTCTATATCCAAATCAGCTGCAGCTTCAGAAAACTCCGAACCCCCTGATAAGCAATGCAAAACCTGTAACTTAAGCAAAAGCATTGGCAACTGTAAAATTTCTCATTTTATGTTTCCATCTTCTGAACGCGTTTGACTTCGAATTTCAGTTGGATACTGGAAAGCCGTACCCCGCGTATCCTTAACATTTTTAGGGGAATTTTTCGCGGATTAAAACGGGGAAAGATTTGGGGGTCGGAGAAGAAAACACCGAACCCAACCCCAAAAGGAGTCCGAATAAAGCGGAGCAGTCAACGCCAGCGGCCCGTCATCTCCTTCCGCTGAAAAGTCAAATCAGTCTTCGCCTACGCAGACTCCCGTCGCGCTCACTGCCATGTGGGCCCAACCGCCAACAAAACCCGGCTCCGCCTTCCGAGGCGAGCACGGTCGTCGTCTACGGCGCCGGCGGCAGTCCAGCGGCGGCGCACGGAGTCACGATGCCGGTCGTCGTCGAGACGAGATTGTGCCTGCAGTCAAGATCGCAGGCGACAGTACAAGAAGACCTAACGCAACGTCTTGTGGTTAAAAAAAAAAGCCTACAATGCTGTTTAATTAGGGTTTAGTCCATTCAGTCATCCACCGAACCCTGCAACCCCAAGCGCCGCCGCTTCCCTCCTTTTTTGTCGCTGGGCCGGCGGGGGCACGCCGGCCAAATATTTTAAGCAAAATCCGGCGGCCGGCGCCTCCTCTCACGCGGTTATCTATCCAAAGCTGAAGGTGCGATGGCCGCCGCCGCCGCCGCCGCGAGCTACTCATCTACTTCTTGGAGAGTCCGACCCGGCCTAACCCCATTTCGCTCCCCTCTCCAGCCACACCCGCAGGGACGACTCCAGCGGATAGCCATCTTCGCCACCCGCATCCGCATCGCAACACCCTCGGCGGCGATGCAGTCGTCCTCAACGCGGCACAGGTTGCGCCCCCTCCCCCCATTTCGTTACTCTGATAGGTCTGCTTCACTGTAAAATGCTGTATTCCTGTCCATGCTATACATGTCTGAAAGTCTGAAATTATCCTGAGTGCATGTCTGAAAGTCTGAATTTATCCTGAGTGCAGAGCATTTCATAGGTTGCATGTTTTTCTAAGTATTTATTAGCTACTCACCCAAAACCCTCATGTTGTTTTCAACATAAGCAGGTAGAAACCTCCTTGTTCAAGTAAATAACTATATTCAGTACTCTATATGTCGAGATATGGATAAGAGGGGCAGTTAGGGCCTGTTTAGATTCATACTATCATTTTAAACCATATCATTGTTTGGTAAAATCAACAAATGTATGGCGGTGTTTACTTTGTTATCAAATATTGGTCATGTCTAAAGAATTTGACAATATCATATTTAATCTATATTTTAGCAATGCTAAATTTTGGAAAGGTTGAAAATAGCTATAAAGTGAACAAGCCCTTAGTATATTGTTCCACGGCAATAAAAGCTATTGCCTGTTTATTCCTTTCTGCTGCCTGGTTGGGGTAATGCATAGATGATATCTATAAATACTCTTTATTCCTACTATATTCAAAGAAATTGGCACACCTGGTGCCGGTTCGTTTCCCCAAAAAATAGTAAGCTGGTTAGGTGCAACAGTTAGTCTGAACTTCTTCTTCTTTTTTTAGGATCAGCTACTCTAAACTTTTGAAGAACCGTATTTTGTTAGTTTAGCAGCATTCAGTTTAACCATTCCGCTCTCATGAGACGTCAAGTTACTCATAAAAATCATAGAGTTTTTGCATTTTTCTTTCTGCACCAAGAACACCACCCTGCGCCACCAGTACTTTTCAGCACAAAAGAGATTATAGTCATTTTTACTATTTTATCCAATGCAACAGAACTCACACTGTTTGTTCCACAGGCTTGAGGCAGTGAATCATGACCATGAAACAATACCTGAAAGGTATTACTATACATACAAAAAATAGGCACTTTTAGTCCTCAATGAACAGGATACTAAATTTTTGCCTGTCCGATTTAGGCTTGCAGTAGTCACTGGTGGAAACAGAGGGATTGGCCTAGAAGTGTGCCGCCAGCTTGCCCTCCAAGGTGTGACAGTCATTCTGACAGCAAGAGACGAGAAAAGGGGGAAAGATGCTGTTGAGTCCCTTTGCCATGAATCTAACCTCTCCAACATAATCTTCCATCAACTTGATATCCTAGATGGTAACAGTCGTGCCTCATTGGCCCGATACATCAACAGTAGATTTGGAAAGCTTGACATCTTGGTAAAAATACAGCTGTTTCCTTCTCTTTACTACAAAGTCTAACCAATCTGTTTCTACAAGAACGAACATATACTGAAGATCGCGTGAGAAATGCAGGTGAACAATGCAGGTGTTGGAGGGGTTGCAGTAGACCAGGATGGCCTGAGAGCTCTCAACATTGATCCCAGGGTTTGGGTATGTAGATTTATGTTAGCTTTTTACTTTCTCTGGATTGATAATACTTATTGTTTTGGACAAAGCTATTTTCAAACTTTAAAAACTTTAACTATAAATAACATCTAAAATATTTATTGTAGAAATATGGTGACCATATGTATAGATTGGTCTTAAAAGGTGCTCCAATAAAATCATATATTTATTGATATTATATATATATATATATATTATAATAAAAAATAGTGGTTAAAGTTGTTTTTTGCATACCGTGTCTTTGTTCAAAACAACAAGTATTATCAGCCAGTAGGAAGTAGCATATTTGCATAGCTTCAAATGCCTCCCCTATTTTGTTCTCTAATTTTTCCCTTGGATGATATGGCCCCTTACAGTTGTCAGTAGTTTTAGTGTCAGATATCCTTGCGTTATTTTGGTGCGTAGTGTTCATTGCGAACTTTGAACACTGGTGTCTATTCAATTAAAAATTCTCTTTTTGATGCACAAATGAATAGTCAGCAGCAACCATCTCAACCACTAAAAAATGTGTTTGCAATTCAGCTATCCGGCAAAGCAGTCAATCTGATCCAATCAGTAATTGTACAAACATACGACGAGGCAGTAAAATGCCTCAACACCAACTATTATGGATTGAAATGGATAACAGAAGCTCTCCTGCCGCTACTGAAACAATCGCCGTCAGGAGCAAGAATTGTTAACACCACCTCTCTTCGGTCAGAGTTGAAGGTACAAATTCTTTCTATTAAAAAAAAGGGTACTTCTGTGCTTCAACTAGCTTACCTAACAACATGATAGTTCCTGTGCCAAACTTGCCACAGAGAATTCCCAATGAGAAGCTCCGCGACGAGCTGCGCAACATCGACATCTGGGACGAAGCACGGATAGAAGCGATGCTGAACGAGTTCTTGCTTGACCTGAAGAACGAACGGCTTGAGGAGGCAGGATGGCCAACAATGCTGCCGGCTTACAGCATGTCCAAGACCGTCGTCAACCTCTACACCAGGATCCTGGCCAAGAGGCACCCGGAGATGCGCATCAACTGCGTTCACCCTGGATTTGTCAACACGGAGATCAACTGGAATACAGGGATCATCCCTCCTGAAGAAGGCGCGAGAGGTGCGGTCAAGGCAGCTCTGCTCCCTCAGGATGGACCAACCGGTTGCTACTTTGATCAAACAGAGTTGGGTGAAGCTTGGTAGTAAAATATAGCATTATAAAATTATTAAGCATGTTTAATAATCATCCTTCCATGCTAGCTTAGCGATCAGAGCTGTGTAAACATATACCACTACATGATTCATGGATGTTTCACAGACTAAATTTGTTATGCAAGGATGCTTAATAATCAACCACTTTTGAATCGTTTTGCATGGATGTTCAGAGATGCTCAGGGAGTGGGGAACGTTGATGATGTCATTTTTTTAGAAGGGTATTCTTTTACTCTGGATATATACAATCTTTTTAAATTAGAAACTTAGCCTATTAAAACTTAGCCCTCAAATAATCCAATCCGAATATTCGATCTTATAGAGATTTGAACTCAAGATCTTAAAATGCTACTCAGAAAACTTCAATCACTAGTCTCCGTACCCTTTCATGGTAATGCTGGCATATGCTACTCGTCTTCTCGGAGATAAGGGGCACACTTGGCCCTGGCCGTGACCAAAATCCTATCAAACGTGACACGTTGCAATACGTGTCCACCCTCTAAGGGACGTGTCGCCTAGCCGTCGCACGTACAGGTTTATATATGTTCATCATCAGAGGCGCTACCCTACGACGAACAGGAAACCACCAATTTAGCAGTGCAGTGCGCGATCATGTCGTCGACGCAGGAGAAGCGAGGCGAGCAGATGGCGCGCGCGCGGGAGGCGGCGCGCGAGATCACGCCCGAAGGCACCGAGCGCGCGCGCGTGGTCGGCGAGGAGGAGGCCGGCCCCGAGCACCACCGCGCCGGCATCCTGGAGGCGGCGCAGCGGGGCGCCTGGTCCCTCGTGAGCGCCGTCGGCCGCACGCTCGGCGTCGTGAGGGACACCGCCGCCCAGACCAAGCCCAGCGAGTACGGCGACGCGGCGGAAGCGAAGGACACCACCGTGGAGAAGGCAAGGGAGACGAAGGACGCATCCAAGCAGCAGAACGAGGAGCTGAAGGCGACGGACAGCGTTGCAGGCGAGCGTGGAGGCGACGCGGCAACAAGCGGACGCGGGCAGGTGGCAGGGAAGGAGGAAGACTAGTACGGCCCGCCCATGTGATCCGTCTTGGGCCAAGTCGGCCCAGAAACGTTGACCTAATTATTAGACTTGGAATAAGTACACTTTGGGTCCCTCTATTTGTTGCCCAGTCCGATTTTCGTCCCTTGACCGCAAAACCGGGTATGACCCAGCCCCCAACTTAAGAAAACCGGGTAAACGTGGTTCCTCGGCGTTTTGAAGGCAGTTTGGCTGACGTGGCGCCTACATAGCTTATTTGACTTGGTCTTCGTCCCATGTGGCATTGATGTGGCGCTTACGTGGCAATTATATCTCGGGAAAATAATAAAAAACGTGGCCCCACATGTCAGCTGCACAAACAAAAATAGTTTTAAAATGGTGGGGCCCACATGTCAGCCTCACTCATCTCTTCTTCCCTCTCCCTTCTCTCTCTCTTCTTTCCTTTCCCCTCTCTCTCTCCTTCCCAGGCAGGGGACGGCACGGGTGGGCGGCGGAGCAGGCGAGCTCCGGCGGCGGCGGCGGGCGTGGTTGGCGCTGCTCCCCGACCGGAGCGCCGCCGGTCCGCGTGAAGGCAGGTCCGGCCGTTCGGGGGGGTCTGGCAGCTAGCGCTACGGCGGCGGCGATCGGCGGCGGGAGCGCTGGGCGGGAAAATGAACGGGGCGGCGGCGGGAAGAGCGGCGGCACGAAGCCGAAGGGGTGCTAGCCTCGTCGTCATCTTCTTCCGGCGCATAGTCGTGGAGCGGCCGGCGGAGCGACGACGACGGGCGGCGGGCGGAGGGCGGAGTAGAGGGGCGGTTGACGGAGCGACGACGGGCGGCGGGCAGCGTGGCGAGAGCACTGCGAGGGAGGAGGCGAGCTCGTCAGGGTGGTCGGCGGGAAAAGAGGTAGCGCAGCGCACGCCGGTCGATGGGAGGGAGGGAGAGGAACGGGGGTCGGCAGCCGGCGGGTGTCGGCGGTGCGTGGGGGTCAACGGCTGGTGGAGGTGGCCGGAGGAGGAAGAGGCAGAGGAGGAGGTCGCCGGCGAGCGCGGGCTCCATGCCGTCGGCCGCTCCGCCCGAGATGCCCAGCAGAACGGCGCCGCCCCTCCTCGCTCGGTCGCCGAGCGCCGCCTTCCTCCTCGCCCGGTCGCCGAGCGCCGCCTCCCTCCTTGCCCGGTTGCCGCGAGCGGCCCCTCCTCTCACCCAGCCGCGGCGCGCCGCCTCCCTCCTCGCCCGACCGTCGCGCGCCGCTCCGCCCACCGCCCCCTGCTGCGCCGCCGCTCACCATTCTGTAAGGGAGAGAGGAGGGATAGAGAGTAGAGGGGGCTGACATGTGGGACCACAGGGGCCCCACCTTTTCTTATTATTTCTTGTAGCTGACATGTAGGTCCCATGTTTTTTATATTTTCCTGAGATCCTATTGCCACGTAAGCGCCACGTCAATGCCACGTGGGACGAGGACCAAGTCAAAGGGAGCCACGTAGGCGCCACGTCATCCAAAACCGGACACAATCCACGGTTTTATAAGTTGAGGGACCCGTCATACCCGGTTTTGCGACGGAGGGACGAAAATCGGACTGGCCGACAAATAGAGGGACCTAATGTGAACTTATTCCATTAGACTTTGTGTAGGTCTAATAGCCCGGAAATGTTGGCCCAAATGTTAATGGAAGAAGGTGCAGGCTTCCCTGAGGAAAAAAGTCCATATGTATCCTTCAACTTATGGTTCGTGTCTGATTTTGCTCGCTCAACCACAAAAGGAATAAGTTTATCTAAGTTCCCTTAACTTGTCAATGATCCAATTTTCGTCCTTCAACTGAAAAATCAGATACAATGGGTCCCCTTAACTACCAAAAACCGGTACAATATAGGTCCCATGGTAATTTGGATGGCGGTTTTCGTTAAGGTGTAGCCTACATGGCTAATTTGACTAGTCTTCATACGATATGGCAATGACACGGCGCTTACGTGGCAATTTGATTTGGAAAATAATAAAAAATATCGGCCCATATGTTAGTTACACCAAAAAATAATTTAAAAATGGTGGGCTCCGTGTGGGCCTCACATGTCATTCTCACCCCTCCTCTTCTTCCTCCTCTCTCCCCAACTCACCTTTCTTCGTCTCTCTCTCTCTCCAAGCCCGCATTGCAGGGAGATGGGGATCCATGGGATGTTGCAGAGCAGACGAAGCGGGGGATTTGGGTTTGGTTTATGCTAGTTTTGGAACAAGACCAACAGTCAGGGGGTGGCCAGTGCCCGGTGGTGAGCACAGTAGCGACGCCCTATGGAGGAAGGCGGTGGAGGGAGCTCATCTATCAACTCCGGTGGCGAGTGCTTGTGGCGGCGCTGCCTCCCTCCTCACCCTGCTGCCGCGTGCCGCCCCTCCTCACTCACACCTAGAGAGAGAACGAGTAGAGTGGAGAAAGAAATGATTAGAGGGGAGTTGGGGTGAGAGGAGGAAGAAGAGGAGGGGTGAGAATGACATGTGGGGCCTATCATTTTTAAATTATTTTTTTAACTAACGTGTGGGGCCACAAATTTTATTATTTTTCAAATCAAATTGCCACGTAAGCGCCACATCATATAAAGACCGAGTCAAATTAGCTACGTACGCACCACGTCAACGAATACCGCCGTCCAAACCGCCATCAGACCTATATTGCACCGGTTTTAACAGTTAAGGGATCCGTTGTATCTGATTTTCTCGTTGAAGGATGAAAATCAGATTCGTTGACAAGTTAAGAGAACTAAGATGAACTTATTCCACACAAAACCAGACATGGAGGCTCTGTCAAATACGTAAATCGGCCCAATATCATGCTGAATTGCTGAGTAGCCTACTCAATATCTAGCCCAACCTTTTTCCCCCTTTCCGTGATGAATTCATATGCGTGCAAAATTTATGTGATCTCTCCTGAGGCATTCGCTAGCTGTCACGATTGGATCCTCGATTACCTTCCATACTTGAGCTATGATTTACTATATATGCTGCACCTAGGTGTCATGGCACCTATCATTTGCATGTGACTTAAATAGTTATAGAAAAAATTAAAAAAATTAGTAACATCGTTTGTGATGATACAAGTCTATACACAAACATGCAAGACTAAATTTGATCTACAACTAGAGAAACAAAAATAATAAAATCAGACATTCAATAGTACCCGTACAGTGCAGATAAAATTTCTTATTTTTGTTTCTTCATATATCGATCGAATTTAGACTTGCATGTTTGCATAGTGACTTATATTATCATGGATTATCTTATCAAATTTTATGTATTTTTTATATAATTATTTAAATTACAGGCATACACCTAGGTGCCATGTCACCTAGGTGTAAAAAATACTTTCTGTTATAGTGCTGGACTCGATAATTTTCATAGTTAAGGGAGGCTTATAATATGTTTTTTTGCGTTTATGGGATCAAAATGGCCTGTAGTTAAGGCAGGCATAATAAGTGATGAGTTCATATACGTGCAACTGCAAACTTATCTGATCTCTCGCGACATTCACTAGCTGTCACAATTGGATCTCCGATTACCTCCCATACTTGGGCTATGATTTTCCTACAATGAATTAAGGTGCAAACGTGGAGGATGAAACTAAAACTCGTCTAGATTCATGCAGAAACATAGATAAGTGTTGCATTTGAGTCGCTGGCAGAGGATGAATTCCAACCCAAATCTGCTGAGATATCAATTGCCATGATACGTCGGGTCCAGATCCTCTAGAGTTGGGTATAACTCTATCGGGTGGAGTTGGCTAAATCTGTGCCATTCGGCATACTTCAAGGGCTAGGCTTAAGCCACATTAATTTATACTTAAAAACCAGTAACTGACCATGCAACAAATAATCTTGTATCAACAGCTTGTCACGAGATCATTTTTACTGTATAATTAGCACAAAAAATTCAAGATTCATCTATTATTTAAAAAAAATCATACACATTAATATTGATATGGTTCGCTGTTTGCATATATGTGAAAGCACTATGTTGATATACACTGACTGCCGCTTTAGAGTTGATCGACTATATCTGTTGTTTGGGGAATAACAAAACGTTATTCTGTTACATTTTTTTGGGGGTGAGAACTTAATCAAATCGCTATTATTGAGCAAACACATGAAAAAATTAAGTCATAACCATTAATTTAAGGAGTTAATTTATTAGGTGAAAATTCCTTAAAAAAAACTTATTAGGTTAAATTGACGAGGAATGATCTCAGCCGTAGAAAACAATGGATAGCACAGATTTGGCCAACTCCACACGGTAGAGTTATACTCAACTCCAGGGGATCCAGACCCTGATACGTCCACGAAATGCATTCCTCTCAAATCCCAGCCGGATTTGGCACCAACTAATGGCGGTGAATTGGATAGGTTAATTCATAGATGAAGGTAATTGATTGATACGGGCTAATATCATCTTGCCAAAACAAACATGCCATCCAGGCGTGTATAACAACACATCACCACCATTGCAAAGCTTCTTCATCGATCGCCATCGTCTTCTCCAGTCCTCATGCAGGCTATGGCGTCCTTACTCCCAATTCTGTTGCTCACCGCCTTCCTATCGTCTAAACCTGCACTCTGCTACATCAATCCAGGTGCAACGCCGCCACAGAAAATTGGCACGAAATCTTCAGGTGGCCGTGCAACCTACATCGTGTTCGTCGAGCCGCCGCCGCCGCTTGGCCACGGCGATGGCGAGGACGACCACTGCCGGTGGCATGAATCTTTCCTGCCACTGAGTGAGCTCGCCGGCTCCGACGACGAGCCACGCCTCGTCCACTCGTACACCGAGGCGGTCAGCGGCTTCGCCGCGAGGCTCACCGGCGGCGAGCTCGACGCGGTGTCCAAGAAGCCGGGGTTCGTGCGCGCGATCCCGGACAGGACGCTGCAGCTGATGACCACGCACACGCCGGAGTTCCTCGGGCTGAGGAAGGACGCCGGATTGTGGAGGGACTCCGGGTACGGGAAGGGCGTCATCGTCGGCGTCCTCGACACCGGCATCGACTCCTCGCACCCTTCCTTCGACGACCGCGGCGTGCCGCCGCCGCCGGCGAGGTGGAAGGGCTCCTGCAGGGACACCGCCGCCCGGTGCAACAACAAGCTCATCGGCGTCAAGTCGTTCATTCCCGGCGACAATGACACCAGCGACGGGGTGGGGCACGGGACACACACCGCGTCGACGGCCGCCGGGAACTTCGTCGACGGCGCCGCGGTGAACGGGCTCGGCGTGGGCACGGTCGCCGGAATCGCGCCTGGCGCGCACATCGCCATGTACAGGGTGTGCACCGTGGAAGGGTGCACCGAGTCGGCCTTGCTGGGTGGAATCGACGAGGCCATCAAGGATGGCGTCGACGTGCTCTCCATCTCCCTCGGTAGCAGCTTTGCTGCGGACTATGACAAGGACCCCCTCGCCATCGGCGCGTTCAGCGCGGTGTCCAAGGGTATCGTCGTGGTGTGCGCCGCCGGCAACAATGGCCCGGCGTTCGCGACGCTTAGCAACGAAGCGCCGTGGATGGTCACGGTCGCCGCCAGCTCAGTCGACCGGCGGTTCTCGGCCCCCACGCGGCTCGGCGACGGCAGGGTCATCGACGGCGAGGCGCTTGATCAGGCGAGCAACTCGAGCGGCAAGGCGTACCCTCTGTCCTACTCCAAGGAGCAGGCTGGTCTCTGCGAGATCGCGGACACGGGCGACATCAAGGGCAAGATCGTGCTGTGCAAGCTGGAGGGGAGCCCTCCGACGGTCGTCGACAACATAAAGCGCGGCGGCGCCGCCGGCGTGGTGCTGATCAACACCGACCTCTTGGGCTACACCACCATCCTCCGGGATTACGGCTCCGACGTGGTGCAGGTGACCGTTGCCGACGGAGCCAGGATGATAGAGTACGCGGGGTCGAGAAATCCGGTGGCGACCATCACGTTCAAGAACAGGACAGTGCTAGGTGTTCGTCCAGCTCCCACCCTCGCGGCGTTCTCGTCGCGGGGACCGAGCTTCCTCAACGTCGGCATCCTCAAGCCGGACATCATGGCACCAGGTCTCAACATCCTCGCCGCGTGGCCCTCGTCGGTTGCTCGCACCGATGCCGCCGCCGCGCCGCCGTCTTTCAACGTCATATCCGGCACGTCCATGGCGACGCCGCATGTGAGTGGCGTGGCGGCGCTTGTCAAGAGCGTCCACCCCGACTGGTCGCCGGCCGCCATCAAGTCCGCCATCTTGACGACATCCGACGAGGTCGACAACACCGGCGGCCCGATCTTGGACGAGCAGCACAACAAGACCATGTTGTTCGGGCCCTTCAACACCGGCGCCGGCCACGTGAACCCGACGAGAGCCGCCGACCCGGGCCTCGTCTACGACATCGGAGTCGCCGAATACGCCGGCTTCCTCTGCACGCTCGTCGGCGAGTATGTCCTGCCGATCATCGTGCGCAACTCCAGCCTGCAGAGCTGCAGGGATCTCCCCCGGGTGGGGCAGTCGCACCTCAACTACCCGTCGATCACGGTGGAGCTGGAGAAGACGCCGTTCACGGTGAACCGGACGGTGACCAACGTCGGGCCGGCGGAGTCGACGTACACGGCGAACGTGACGCTGGCCGCGGAGACGTCGCTGAAGCTGAGCGTGTCGCCGGAGACGCTGGTGTTCTCCAAGGCCGGGGAGAAGAAGACGTTCGCCGTGACGGTGAGCGGGAGGTTCACGAAGGCGGCGCAGGCGGTGGCGGTGCTGGAAGGGAGCCTGAGATGGGTGTCGCCGGAGCACGTCGTCCGGAGTCCGGTGGTGCTCTACATCCCCGTCGCTTCCGCACCGCCGTCGCCGCCGATGCCGGCGGTTGGGACTCGGCGCGGAGACAACTGGGCCTGAAGTTCTTCATGGGCTATGTACATGGGTCGTACGCTTTGCTGTGTGAATACTAATAACTGGGCCGATTTTTTACTATAATCCTAATGGGCTTTTGGGTTACTCTCGCACGCAGTTTCAGCCCATCAGACTGTACTGGAAAGGATTGAGATACTCTACCTGCCACTTTGCCTTGTTAATAACGGGTTGGTTTGGTTTGAGTCCTATATTGGCCTTACCAATATTTGGCAATTTCAATAGTGTTTATTGTCTATTTGGTTTGGAGCCAAATTTTGGCATGCCTAAGAAAATAGGCCATTTCAACAGTTAATTTAGGCTATTTTGGTTTCAATCCAAACACAATTTTACCTTTGCCAAAATTAGCCATGACAAAAGTTACCAAAATTTAACATTGACAAAAATTGGTAAGGCCAATTTAGGCCACGAACCAAACCAGCCCAACATGTGTGGGTCTAGGGTTCATCGGGCTTACATATTAGTGATGGAATCAGTTTACTTCGAAGGTTGAGGATCTTGATCCGTACTATAATAACACATTTTACTTAGCTTTTGCAATTGAATTCAACTGCATCTACTACTAGAGTAAGTACTCTAGTTTTGCTATTTTGCAAGCTTCACATCTTCCTTAATATAAGCTCGACAGAAGGGCAGGAGAAATGGAAAGAAGAACAGGACAGACAGAAAGAAAAGCTTGAGCTCGGCATGAAGCCATGGGGATGGAGATCAGGATGGCACGAGAGCACCTTGCAGCTTTTATGGTGCTCTTGCTAGCTGAATAACGGCCGGTGGAAGGTGAGCTACAGGAAGATTCGTCCTTATAGCAATAAACAATGTCAGCATCGGTGCACAGAACCTAACTGTTCGCTGTTAAACGCAAAGCAGCTCTTCAGTTCAGTTCAGTTCGGTTCAGCTCTTCAGTTCAGTTCAGTTCGGTTAGGTTCAGTTGACAGCAACAGGAGCATCACTTACTAAACCAACACAAAAGTAGATAGGACACTACCTCTATCCAGATTCGTTGTAACATGTAGTATCTCATTTACTCATAGGTTAGTTTTTTCTTATGGGATGGAGGGAATACTCCGTTCCTTTTAAAATACAGTGACCTAAAATGGATGGGGTAAATTTTAACCCCTATTTATATTCGTAGTATTAAAACGCGTCTCATACTATTGTATATTGTTACATTTTAGAACAAAGTAAGGACTCCACTTGGATGGTTCAGACTACTCTACAAAGACTGCGTTGCTCGCCTTCATTCAGGTAAGGAGAGAGAGCCTTCTCTAATCTCTACAACGAACTGAACCGTGTGAGCGAGATCAATCTTAACGCTCTGAACATTGGAAATGCAGGACAGGAAACGAATCGAATCCGATGAAATTTCAGACGCCAGTAAAAAGGGTGGAAGGTACGGTGAAGGTAATATCAAAACGTGAGAAAGAATCTGCTGCGAATTGGACAGCAGTAGCAGTGAAAGGTAAGATCACAGTAGTAGTAGGAGGAGCATTTTCAAGACCAACCCGTTTACCCGCGTGCATTTCCACGTCAGGCCCGTACGAAAGTAGAAGCCGCAGTTGCCACTTGCCACTGCAGCTAGCTGGAATAGCTTACCGTACAGCATTCAGCTGGATCACTCAAAAAAAAAAATCTGTAAAACATCACACCAACTCTTCGTTTGCACTACCCGTCCCAAAATAAGTGCAGCATTAGATATCTGTATCCAACATTTGACCATCCATCTTATTAAAAAATTTTAAAAAAATTAGTCACACACATAAAGTATTATTCATGTTTTTTCATCTAGTACCAATAAAAATACTAATAAAAAATTCAAATAAGACGAGCGATCAAATATTGGACATAAATATTGCAAAATTGTATTTATTATGGGAAGGAGGTATTACTGCTACTTCACGTTTGCGTACGGGAAATTCGTTTGTACTCCATTGTCGAGAAAATCTCAGGGCTCATTAGGGTCAACCTTCATTTTTATTTTTGAAAACAATGTTAAATAAACAAACTTAAAAAGTAAGACATGATTGATAGTTAGACTTAAGAGTAGAATCAAATGAACAATTGTATTTTTTCTATAAACTTGTAAAGATGTTTGATTTAGGATAAACCCAAAATAACTTATTACATAAAATAAGTTTCAAAATTTTAGTCAAATAAAATCAACAATTTTGGCCGTGTTTAGTTCCCTTCAAACTTCCAAAAATTCCATCACATCAAATGTTTTGACACATGCATAGAGCATTAAATGTGAACGAAAAAAAACAATTACATAGTTTGCATGTAAATTGCAAGACGAATCTTTTGAGCCTAATTACGCCATGATATGACAATGTGATGCTACAGTAAATATTTGCTAATGGTGGATTAATTAGGCTTAATAAATTCGTCTCGCAGTTTACAGGCGGAATCTGTAATTTATTTTATTATTAATCTATATTTAATACTTTAAATGTGTGTCCGTATAATTAAATAAAAATTAGCCAACGAACTAGACACAGTCTTTATACAATATGCGGATGGAGTACGTACGTTATAGGGCAAGCACTGCCTCTTCTTAGGTTTCTTCTGTTTTGAGAGAGGGGTTGAACAATTGCAGGCAGGCACTGCAGCGTCTAGAAGAATTAGAAGCTCGGTTTTTGAATCATGTACAGTTCTCTCTCTTTTTCTTTCCTGGAATAAGGTAGAGCTAGCTCTCGAGCTCAATCTTAATTAACTCGTCTGTTAAAAAAAAATCTAATCCTAACTATGTATTTAGACACACATGTATTTAGATTCGTAGCTCAAAGTTAGCTTTTTATATACGTCCTGATGAATGATGTATAGTGGCGTGTGTGGTGCTGATGATGATTAGCTATTTAAATCTGGGCGTGCCGCTCCCTGATGCTGTGATTATGAACTTATTTTGGCTCTTCCTCTTGTAGCTCTCAAGAGTGTCTGCCATGATTGAGCAGGGCCAGGGGCATGGATAGTTTACAAACAAGTCTACCAGATGTGTCCATGGACCCGCCATCTTCCTATACAAACGCACCCTTTGATACTCAAAAGATTCAGCCACAACTTGTGCTATTAAAGAACGTTGGTTACAAACGTTTACAGCTTTGCACTTAGGTCCTGTTTAGATCCCACCCTCAAATTTTTCACCATATCACATCAAACATTTAAACACCTACATGAAGTATTGAATATAGGAAAAAAACTAATTGCGCTGATTGCGACTAATTTACGAGACGAATCTTTTTAAGCCTAATTGCTATATGATTTGATAATATGGTGCTACAGTAAATATTTACTAATGACTGATTAATTAGGCTTAATAAATTCGTATTGTGGTTTACTGATGGATTCTGTAATTAGTTTTTTTATTAGTTCTGAACACCCCATGCGACACACATCCTATATAATACCCGATGTGACACGTCAAAACTTTACACCCCTAAATCTAAACACTCCCGTAAGATTACTATACCAACCTGAATCTATCTCTGTTTTTTTTTCTCTTTCACAGAAGGATGCTCCCATGAATTACTAGCTGATGAGTATGGTACTATGGTGTGTACTCATTCAGGCCATTGATGATACTACCAAGCAAAGTTATCAGCCGATTTATTTTTTGCTTGATGCATTACTGCATTATCCCTTTGTAATTTTACTTTGGGACAAATAAAGTAGAAAAAGGTGGACAGGGGAATAGAAAACGAGTAGTACAAACGTTGGAACTTGAACTCTTGACTGACCTATCACCAACCATCTCGTGGTACTAGCACACCACTTAGGGCTGTTTAGATACCTCGTAAAATTTTTCACTCTGTCGCATCGAATGTTTAGACATATGTATGAAGTATTAAATATAGAAAAAAATAATTACTAGATTACGTGTAAATTACGAGATGAATCTTTTAATTCTAATTGCTCCATGATCTGACAATGTGATGTTACATTAAACATTTGCTAATGATAGATTAATTAGGCTTAATAAATTCGTCTCGCAGTTTACGGGAGGATTATATAATTTGTTTTTGTTATTAGTCTATATTTAATAATTCAAATGTGTGTCCGTATATCCGATACGACACTCCAAAACTTTTCACCCATATATCTAAAGACAGTTTTAATCTCCATCCATTCTCCAAACATCGAGATCTCTGACGAGTATAGGCCAACAAATAATTCCTCCATCTCAAAACAAACTAATCTCATATTAAAATATAATGTATACTAGTACATCGAATCTGAATATACTCTATATCCAGATTTATTGTATTAAAATGTATCGTATCTTAGTATAGAGTTGTTTTATTTTTAAGGCGGATAGAGTACTCTAACCAACTCAACAGTCAATTACCATTAGAAACCACCTGCGACAACACTACTGCCATTAGTTTATCTGGAATGAGACAGAGCAATGAGCCATGCGTTTAACCCAGGAGAATTCTGAGGCGTGCTGACGAAAATGGGAACTTTCCTTACACTTCCTCTATTTTCTTTTATATGATGTTGCTTAGTATGATTTTCTATACTCTATCTATTGAACTAACCAATATTAAAAAATATTTACTACTGATACTTTCTCCATTTTATAATTCTTGAGGTTTAAATAATGACAAATAAACTAAAGAAACTGGAAATTAAAATCTAGTGTGGTGCAACTTGATAGTAAGCAGTGTAGTCTACTTGAAGTGGAATACTTCCTCCGTTTCAAGTTATAAGACTTTCTACCATTGCCCATATTTATATAGATATTAATAAATCTAGACACGTGTCTTATAATCTGAAACGGTGGTAGTAGTATCTTTGCTCGGCTATCAAGGTGCAGGGAAAGTTCTCATTGGCATAGAGCGTATCTGACAGCAAGTCTTTTTAGCTTTTGGCAACATCTCTCTTCGCTCGTCGTAACTAGGCTTTCGATGCAATCGAGAGAAAGGAAAACTTCAAGGACATATCCAGTTGTGTTACAGAAAGATCAGTGGAGTTCACTTCCCCTGGGGCCATGCAATACATGCTGAGTTTTCAGTTCAGTTTCAGAGAATATATAAAAGACTTTTGGATCCGTAGCACTCAGCAAAACTCTTATGTCTCGGAAACATCTGTGCTCAGTTTGATTTGAGGTCAATTTTGTTTTCCTTAGAGCAAGTTCAATAAAAGAATTAAGTTGGTGGTATAATATCGAGGCTAGCAAAAGCAATGAGCTTGAGAAATAATCTTTTTAACTTA